TAATTCATTTTTCAAGGTTTATTACATAACTTACTAAAAAGTAAATATGCTTGGGGACGGTGTTACATGAGAACTTAGTGGAGATGAATGATTCAACTACCGAAAATGAAATGATTCAGAATGATCATGTCATGACAGGAGAAAATTTAGGAGTTAATAATAATGGTAGTGAGCAACCAAACAATAATTTGGATGGATCAAATGTATCAACTTTAAGTACTCGTCCTTTGATTTTGGATATTTACGATCCTGCTGATTGGGGAAATCTAGATGGCAAAACAAGAGATATTGTAATTGAAAAAGGCCCTATAAGAGAAACACAACTCAATTATCCTCTTGAAGCTAAGTCTAGACATTTCTCAAATGTCTCTAGAAACATGAAAAATAAGGAAAGTGAAGATAGACCGTGGTTGGTGTACTCAAAGAAAGTGGATAAAGTGTTTTGTTTTTGTTGCAAGTTATTCAAAACAAAACATGGGCCTAATTTTTTAGCGAATGAAGGATTCAATGATTGGAAACGTTTGAATGAGAAACTTTCTAGTCATGAAAAAAGTTTTCAACATTTTGGTAATGTGCAAAAATGGATTGATACAAAGATGAGATTGGAAAAAGAAAAAAAATTGATTTTGCCATTCAGGAAAAACTTGTCAAAGAGAAGAAGAATTGGAGAGATGTTCTTAAGAGAATAATTGTTTTAGTTAAGACTTTTGCAGAAAATTCCATTGCTTTTCGTGAAAAGTCTGAAAAATTATATGAGGACACCGATGGAATATTTTTAGCAATCATTGAGATGCTTGATGAGTTTGATCCTGTTATGCAAGAGCATGTGAAACGTATTCAATCTAAGGAGATTCATTATCATTATCTTAGTCACAAAATTCATAATGAATTGATTTCGAAATTAGCGTTGGGTGTTAAGAGGCCAATTATCTCACAGATCAAGGCTGCTAAATATGTAATTAGTAGATTATATATTGACAAGACGTATGTTTAGTAGATTATATGTTGCAAGCACTCATATTAGTGCTAAACATACGTCTTGTCAATATATAATCTACTAAACAGAATTTAATTATGGGTAGACTTTGTTCACGTGAATTAATTAAATTATCATAATATTATGAATTTAATTAAGAGTAGACTTTTTCACGTGAATTAATTAAATCATCATAATTAAACAGTTTGAACATATATAAATGATAAATATTGACATAAATTAATCATATGTATTATAGTTATGTCTCATCATTGGGTTATTTTGCCATTTGCTTATATATATGTTTGTGTGAGCATTAAAAATTTTGAAAATAAAATGTAAAAATACATATATATAATTAATGTGATAATTCATACATTTCATTTTTTATACTCTGTATTATACTTTTTACTCTTAACCTTATTCATTATTTATTTGGTGTTGAAAAAGTTACACTTTTCAATTTTTAGATTAAAAATACTAATGTGTAATACTTTAAAGGTAAACTAATATACATATACTCATGCATACACACGGGAAATGACAGTTGATGTATATATTTTTACTCAGATCTAATTAAATACAAAAATAAAACAACTTTGTAGAATTTTACTTTTAAAAAAATCGGAGTACAAAAAGCGAGTACCATAAAGTATAAATTTATACAATAAGTATTAAAAGTAAGAAAACTTTAGGGGAAACTGATTGACATTATTCATTAGGATTTGGTGCTTATTAACTACTTTGATCAACATTTGTCGATAACATATAATGAAATATTAAATTTACACTGAAAGGTCTTGGAAAGCTACCTTAAAGACAACATTTGTACTAATGTCTAATGAGTTATCTTCCTTATCATGAATTAAGATCAATTTGATTCATGCATTTTTAATCCCACATATAACTGTCGACGATTAAATTAATTATAAGTCTAGGTAGGTATATTCCAATTCTTTAAGTGGTTATTCTTCATATTTGTTAATTTTCATAGCATATAGACACTCATATTAAATTGTCTTGTTTTAAGTTTAAAAGTTCATAGCGGTTGAAAAGGAGATATTCACATTTGAGGAATGTAAATCTCATCTCCTAGACTACCTCTATACATATTTTTGCTCCAATGACATGAATTCAAAATCATGCGACAATTAATCTAGTTCCATAATATAACTATTCATACTGGTTTATATTTTTTAACAATATCAATTGAGTCCTAACCTTGAGTCTTATCCTGTAAATTTGAAGACCTAATGTTCTTAATGAATTTAGAAATCCACATGTCAATGTTTGCATTGTTTTTGCTTTAGCTACATCCGACTTGTCTACAAAATCAAAATTTAAATATTCTCTTTCTTCAAGTACAATAATAAAATGTTAGTGTTGAGTTAATGGGCCCGATAGCAGGATGGCCCATCATCCCTTGGCAAAAGAACCATTAGGGCCCGGTTCGAGCATGATCCGGCAACGAATCCAACAAGACGTTTGTCTTCACAAGAGCGGACGAGCAGGTTCAGCGCCCTTGGCCCATTGAACCATGTGATGATCCAAGGGCCAAGGGGGGACGATGAGCATGGGCCGAGCGAAGTCAACATCCTTATGCTCAGAGCATCTTTAATGGTAATGTGGATTGTATCACATAAAAATGGATACATCATTAACATCCACAGTCAATCAAGCTCACGTGGACAACGGATTAATGTCAAATTTCATCTCCAATGGAACTGTGGATGTGAATAGATCTGTGCGCAGCTGAAATTTGCAACAATCAAATTATTTTCTATTCCTACACCATACCGATAACTTTTTTTTTACAATCCATACAAGTGTACTAGCGAAATTGAAGAAGGTTTCTACACAGGTTCAACATACTTCACTGCAATTAAAAGCAACTCAGACCCAACCTGTTAAATTTTGATATACTTGGTATATATATTTTTATATACCCAACCTGCTAAATTTTGATATACTTCGTATATATAAATCTTGTTATGCTTTGCCCAACAACATTTACAATTATTGTAAAAAATAGATTTTACAATTAACACGGGAGATGTCTTCACCCTGCAAATTCAAATCTATCTTGAACTCCACTACCCAATAATTCAATTTCCTTGTCAGTTCTGAGCCGCGGACTAGTTTCTATAGAGATTTTCCTGGTTCTTACCTTCACCCCTGCTAACAAGGATTAGGTTGAGGCTGTCGTTTTATGCATCAAAGAGGCCGGCGACGGCCTTCTACTGAGAGTCTGGAGTGATGGACATGAACACGAAGGTCTAATATACACTTCTGCACAGACGTGATTGTTGTTTTCTCTAATCTATGAAGGTCTGCAGAAGTATACTACTGCATGCGTATAAAGTGTTGGAGGAAACCTCCGTTCAGGTCCGGCGACACTCTTTTTCAAGTAGTTTTTCATTACTTGTATTGCCGCAAGCCTGCAAAAAAATGAATTAAAATCATAATTTGCTGAGTCATGCTGTCTAGGAGGCCTTCTGAAAATAGATACGGAGTACTACGTTAGACGGTGTGTGTTCTAGCTCAGCAATGCTTTTGATACGGACGTCTCCGATTTAGTTAACGTGGCAATGCATTTTTGAGAATCCAAAGCCCCGTTAAAGATGCTCTCATATGCACCCAGAACTCAACAACAAGGGGACGTCTGTCCGTCCGGACCTCTTGGCGGAAAATCAAGATATTGGCGGGAAGCGCATTTAATGCAATAGATTTGGTGGTTGAGAAGCTAGTCATTCATTAAAATTGTCTCATATCAAATTTTTTAAAATTGTACCATTCTAAATCACAATTGCTTTAATTTACCTTATCAATTAACTACTTATCACATAAACCCATTTTTCTTAATAATTGTGTCACATTTTCATGTCTCAACGTTAACATAACGGAGATAGTATCTTGACCTGAGTGGATTTGGTAACACTAGAATTGATTGTTTTGTAATCCATTGAAATTAAGTTACTAATTAACTATAAATTCCCTTGATAAAAAAAGTGTACTTATCTTTCATATAAATGGATACAAGTGTCCGGTGACATTGTTTTTTGATTTATCAAACATTTTTCACTAAACACGTAATTTTGATTCTGTGAGAAAAAGATGCTGCATTTATTTTTCTAGTTCTATTGGCTAAAGTTACTCTAGATGACCAAATTTAGCTATTTTTCATACTCCTTTAGTGCCTTTAAATTTTGCCTATCTTTCCTTTTTTGATGTTCTAAACAACTTTGTCACTTTCCTTTATAATCAATTATTTGTGGTTCCTGTTATTTCTTTCTCCTTTGCACAAGTTTTAACTGTACAAATTTTACTTTATCATTCGTAGTGTCGATCAAACTTCATAAATTTTGAAGGGACGAAGAAATTATAATTTTTTCTTTATTTTATTAATAAAAAGGTATTTTAAATACTTCCTCCGGTCCTAAATAAACTTCACACTTTGACTTCACACAAATTAAGAAAATAAATTTGACTTTACTGTAGAGTACACAGTTGTGACACTGTTTGACACTGTTTGTCACTGTTTTGCACTGCTTTGATATAGATAATTTGTCAAATAAGGAAGGAATAAGAAGTGTGAAGTTTATTTTTAGATCTAGCCAAAAAGAAAAGTGTGAGTTTATTTAGTATCGGAGTATAATTTTTTTCTTAAATCAGCTTATTTAGTGAATTCAACCATTTAAGTCAGAACCTATTAAATTTCATTAGAATTTGGTTTAAGGAAGAATTTGGTTTATAGTGGCTATATTATTGACGGTCTCTTTGTTGCTTGAAGGTGAAAGGCGTCCGTCCATTCATGGTCAATACGGTGACATGATGATGACGATGATTTACAAATCATACTTCTCCGTACGACCCGATACCGGATAAATCGCGCATGTGCCTATTTGTCTGGTAGCTGACAAATCGGACGTGGCTATTACTCGGTCGGGGGCCCTACGTCAGGTCGCAGCCTTTCATACCTCACTGACATCGACCATAGCTCCATTATTACTCCCTACTGCCCGTACCGAGCATTATTATTCTTGAATCAGAGGCGGGGAAAAAATTTAGGGATTCGCCGGCTGTTCTTGGAGCTTTGGCATCGGCCGATGACTGGTAGATAAAATTTCAAGATTTTTGACCTAGTATCAGTTCCGAGGCTTTAGCTTTCGGGGTCTTGGGAAAGCATGGGGATTCTTCTGGACGACGTCGTTATAATCGAGCACGGGAAGAATTCCGGCGACCCCACCGTCGTGACGGTGAACTGCCCCGACAAAGCTGGGCTCGGATGCGACCTTTGCCGAATCATCCTAGAATTCGGCCTCTATGTTACCCGCGGAGGTTAATGCTCTCCCTTTCCCGAGCTTTATTATTTGTCATTTTTTCCATTAAAGAAACAAACCTTGTGATTTATTTGCAAATCTTTCAGCTTTCTATGATTTTCTTTCTGATTAAGTTTGATAAGTTCTAATACGTTTGAATTATAATCACAGAAAAAGCAAATCCTAATTGCGCTTTGAAATTGGAGTGTTCTTTCTTTGATACTTTTTTATTATTTGATGTTTAGTAATGGAGATTTATTGGTTTATTTGGCAGACTTGTTCTTCACTCATGATTATAAATTGTGAAGAGTATGACTTGGGTTTTCTTTCATGCTATGAAAGCTCAGCTGAATCACTCCCTGTTTTGCCTTTATATTAACTTTATTCAATTAGTGAAATGACATGATTAAGAGCCAGGCCGTTTGACAAATGAATAGTAACCAAGACATATTAAATGATAGAAATTGAGTAGCAAAAGTCAAGCCATGACAATCTACATATTTTTTCTTTTGAAAATTAAGAAAAAGTATTCAACTCAATGCTTAAATTGTTTATGGTACATAATTTTATTGCTGCAGATTTGTATTATTCCATCAGCTTACTACAGTCTGAAATGTTAAGCGCGCTGGTGACACTGTTTTCTTGGTTGCAGATATCTCTACAGATGGAAAGTGGTGTTATATTGTATTGTGGGTTGTTCCACGCCCAAGCTCATTGAAAATCGACTGGGAAAGCTTGAAAAACCGGCTTGTATCTGTCTGTCCCTCCTGTATGATTTACTTTTTCGTTGAACCACAATCAAGTAGCCCTCCACATCATCCGTTGTACCTTCTAAAAGTATTTTGCCTTGACAAGAAAGGCCTATTACACGGTATGTGCAAATCTAAGGCCCTGTTTGGTAGCCATTACTGGCTTATTCGATAAGTAGTTTTCGACTTTCAGCTTCACTGGAACCTATAATAACTGCATTTTAAAAACATCTCAGCGTTTTTTTTTAAATTTAATCATGTTTGTGGACATTAATTATTTTAACAACTATATTCATAAGTTTTCAGCTTTTTGAAGTTGGAAATTTGTAGCTCATGATTAATTTTAACCGCTTTTATACTCTAAGCTACATTCGTTCTTGTTTTTCATACCTTGCTAAACCTAATTGTTTTTTTGCTTTCAAATGAAATTAATTATTCTCAAACCTATTTAAAGTAAACTTTATCCACATGAAATCTGATTTTGTTTATAATCGTTTAGTGAAATAACTTATCTTTTTAGCTATGCCTTCCACATCCTTATTGAGATGAAATGGATGCCACTATTTTTTTGAGAAAATTCAGCAAATTCGTCCACTTCATCCATCGCCAAACGGGCACTAAGTATATATTCCTTGTGTGCGTAATTATTTGATTCATGATTCCACATGGTGTTTCAGATGTTACCAAAGTGCTGTGTGAGCTTGAGCTATCTATTCAAAGATTAAAAGTTATGACAACACCTGATGGGAAAGTCTTGGATCTTTTCTTCATAACGGATATGCTGTAAGTTGTTATTTAAGCTCTAATTTGGTTTCATGGATATCTGATTGGGGATGTTGGGTTTATTTATTCTTACATTTAGTTTTTTTCGAAAAATCTTTGAGTAAATATATATGAGTTGACTAAATATATATGGGTAGTTTTTTTTTCTAAGTATAAGACTACAAAAATAGAGATAAATTAGGAAAACAAATTTCAACCCCAGAAACCCTCAACTAAAAAGGCCTTAGAGTTCATTATGTTTCATTAATTTGTTTTTGACCGCTTAACTGTTGTCAGCTTGCTGCTGAATTTGCATAATCTAAATGTAAAAGTTTTGAGACACTGAGGTTGTATTCACTTAATTTAGGGTTATTTAGCTGTTATGCATGTAGGGCAAACCACACTAAATGATTGGGCCTAGTTTATTACTTAGTCTAACACTCTAACGTAAGACCTTGTAATCTCATTCATCTCTCTTAGATCTTTAAAGTGGGATTCTTAAGAGATTCAAACTTAGTTTGCTGTAGAAAGAACTTTTCCTTTAGATTTGGCACAGAATACATATCTTATGTTTCTGTATTATATTGCATCAGGGATTTATTACATACAAAGATGAGACGGGATGTCACATGTGAATACATAAGCAATATTTTAGGAGAGTATTGTATAAGCTGTGAGCTTGAGTTGGCAGGACCAGAATACGGAGGCCAGCAGGCATTCACTTCACTTTCTCAATCAGTTGCTGACAAATTATTTAGTTGTGAATTGTCTGAGAAGGAACCTCCTGAAGCAAAGGTGAAGAAGGCCATTGTTGCAGTGGATAACCTTCTTAGCCCAGCTCATACATTACTTAAAATACAGTGCATTGACCAAAAGGCCCTCATCTATGACATTTTGAGGACTTCAAAGGATTGTGACATTCGGGTATCATGTTTTTTCATTCTTGTTATGTTTTCTATGTAGTATTGCCTGATTTATGTTTAAAGTTGAATTCATTTGAAAGTGAAATAAAAAGTTATAAAGTACCTAAAAAAATTACTTTTGAAATAAGTGTTTGACAGTTGCTTCACCCATAAGTGGTTTTATGGTTACAAAAAGAAAAAAAATCTGTTTGAAACTTTGGTCAAACTGTATTGCCAAATGTTGTGAACATGTGATATTTTTAATAGAACTGGTTGTAGCAAAACCACATGCATAAAAATCACATCCGAACAGACTCTAAGAACCCTATTCTAGAGTCACCTAAGCATTCGTTTATAACAGTCTGGTTTCTTTTTCCTGAAATTTCGACTTATTAGTTACCATTTTTTGTTATTTTCCTTCAATCTAACATATGTGGTGTCTTGCTGCTCCTTTTCCCCATCTAGGTTGCCTTTGGAAGAATCTCATCCACTGCCAAGGGATATCGAACTATGGAACTATTTGTACAAACAACTGATGGGGAAAAAATAATAGATACTGAGAAGCAGGAAGCTTTGTGTTCCCGGTTAAAGGAAGAGATGCTACACCCATTACGGGTCATAATTACCAGCCGTGGCCCTGATACAGAATTATTGGTTGCAAATCCTGTTGAATTATCTGGGAAGGGGAGACCTCGTGTCTTCCATGATGTCACCGTCGCTTTGAAAAATCTTGAGATTTGCGTGTTCTCGGTAAGCCCCCCTTCCCCACCTAAAATAATTTCAGGGTTATTTCAAATAAGTCACTTAACCAGTAGTATTTTCCACAAATGAAACTTTAAACACCTAAAGATTTTAGAACTCCCAGAGCAATCCATACTAGCGTCTTGTGGTACTGTATAACCTCACATTTCAATTTTGCCTGGTTGGTTTGCCAAAAGTGTTTTAGACAAATACAATGAAGCGGAGGGAGTGCAAGTTACTAATTAACTTTATAAGCTGATAGGTGATCAACTTGTTTTGCCAAACAGAGCGTTAACACTGAAATATTGTAGGAGTGGAATATAATGATAACATGAACAACATGGTATGCCTTCAAAATGATTTTGTTTTTTAAATATATTTGAACGGCCAAAATATATTAAAGCCCTTGCTCAAAAAGAATATTTGGGACATATAGTACGCTTCAGCAGAACAACCTGACCAAACAGGGCCTAAGTGACCATCCTAATTAATGTGAATCAATGCATTATTAACATCTTTTACTGGTTTGTAGGCTGAGATAGGAAGGCATTCAACATCAGACAGAGAGTGGGAAGTTTATAGATTCCTATTGGATGATAGCCCTAAATTCCCGTTTGATAGCAAGCGAGCTCAAAGCGAAATAGTAGATGGTGTTAAAAGAACACTGATGGGCTGGTGAGAAGCAAACTTGAAGCCCCGATGTGACTCATAAGGATTTGGTTTGGTAACCAAACCAAACAAGATGTATGATTTAGTTCACTATGTTATTTGTAGAAATTGGTGTATTATAATGATGGAGATGAGATTATGAAAGTGTGTACTGTCCAGATATTATATCTTCCTTGTGTGGTGTGTAATTTTGTTATGTGTACATAATTCTTTGGTACATAACTGAAATATGAAGTTTTGCTTTCCTTTGTTCAAAAATGGCTTTTGACCTTTTCCTCTGTGGGTGTGTGCATATAGATTGTCTTTGAACTCAGTCCATGTTTGTAGATGCCTGCCAGCTGCAGGCGACTCCGAAAAGGCTTACCATCCCCGCAGCTGTTCGTGATGTCATTAGTTGCTGTCCGCTTAAAGTTTGTTTAAGCGGTAGTTCTTATTTTAGGGAGTATGATGTCATTAGTCCAGACGTATTAAATCAAAAGCGTTAGAAGCATGAGAAACACCGACATAAAAAGGAAGTCTTTTCTGTTTTGCAAAATGACAAATGTCCCAAGGGAAAGAGCGTTTTTCATTATTTGAAACATTACAATTAGATAACAATGAAAGGTTATTGAAGGGTAAATGCCCTAATCTAAAATGCTAAAGAGCGGTAGATGAAGCAGTATGTTGAGTATGCTGACTATTTGCAGAATGCATAGTAGGAATATGATGAATTGAAGAATCTAAATTATAGTGATCTAAGTCATTCTTTAAATCAACAAAGCCAGTCATTCTACTGGTAAGGTGGTCCTGCAATATAGACTGAAATATTATCATGAGATGCTAAACTTGAAATAGATATGAGATTGAAAGTAAAATTAGGAACATATAAGACATTATGTAAAGTAAGGTAAGAATTTAATTTTATGTCAGCAATTTTAGTAGCAGAAATGAGATAACTAGTAGGTAATTGAATATTTATTGAAATGTTTTACTAGTAGTAGTATATAAAGAAGCATCATAGACCATATGGTCAGATGCTCTAGTATCAACAATCCAATGAGAAGTTTGAAAAGTTGAAAGAGCAAAATGTTTACCTAAGAACTTAGTGTCATTGTGAGAAATAGTAGAATCATCATTAGGAGCAATGGTGACCACATTAGCAGAAGCAGTCTTAGGCTGTTGAGTTTGAATGGATTGCAGAAACTTGTCATAAAGATTTGGATAACAGAAATCAGTAGCAGCAGAAGTTAAATTTGTAGAAGTTAAGGTTGGTTCTGTGTAGTTTGTCACCATATGTCCATATGCGTTTGATGGTTTTTATTAGAGTTGAAGTGATGTTTAAAATCATGAGCAATTATTTGTCCTTTTGGCCCTTTCCTGTTACTTGGTTAACCAATTAATTGGAAACATTTTTCAGAAGAGTGACCTTGATAGCCACAATGAGTACAAGTAATAGAACTTTTCTTTTTGAAATTTTTGACAAGGAAAACCGTAGCATCAATATTAACTTTTTCAGAAGCAGAAGGCTCTGAAAAAGAAGTTGTGGAAGAAATGGAATACTGAAGAGACCTTTGAGACTCTTCTTACAAAAGGATAGTGTAAATGTTGAACAGTGTAAGAGTTGTAGTTTTAAGAAGAATCTGACTACACAGAATAGTATAAGACCCATTCAAAGCAACAAGAAACTGTAGAATAGACTCTTTCTGAAGTTGTTTCTGGTATGTTCCGGAGATATATAAGGTGCAATTACCACAAAATACAAGTAGGAATAACTCTGAACTTACAATATTCATCCCAGAGCTCTTTGAAAGAATTGTAGTAATCAGTGAGAGCCTTGAGAAATACTTTCTAGGTTTTTTTTCTAGTTGAAAAAGTCTAGGACCATCACTTTTACCATACCTAAGTTGAACCTCATCCCAGAGTTCTTTAGCATTGATAAAATAAAGGAAAGTAGTGCGAAGAGTAGGAGAAATTGAGTAAATCAGCCAAGATAGGAGTAAAGTTTTGATACGATATCAGATAGAGTGCACGGAGTTATTTGTACTCAGCTGCTCAATTGATCTATTGAGGAAACCTATTTTGTTCTTCATCGTCATGGCCATAACAACTGATTTCTTCCCGGTGCCAAAGTTGTCAATGTCTCATAGATGATTCGAAGTCCAGCATGGTTACTCGGATGAAGATACTACGGCGATGAAGGATCCCCGAATGGATTCAGTGGTAAAGTTTCAGTCAGAACCATTGTGGCTAGGGTTTGAGTGTGATTGATGATCAAAGATCGAGGAAAATCAAATCGGTTATAGAAATCGATTAGAAAGAAGTATGGAAATCAATAAGGATCGAAGCCTTAATCTGATACCATGTAGAATTACAGGATCTACTGTAATCAAAGAAGAAGTGTAGAAGGTATTGAGAGAGACGAAGGAGAAGAATGAATAACACTTCGTAGTTCAATTTAGGGCTACAATACACTATTTATAAAAAAGATTAAATAGACTATTCTAGTATTAAAAAGTAAAAATAACAATAGGCCCAAGATAATATGTCCAGTCCAGTCATTTATTCTTGAGAAAATGGTACAAGGTAGTCCGTCCATGAAGTTTTCGACGATTATGATCGTACTTTTTGGTTCATCGTCATCAAAACGGCTTTTGTAATATTAATGTTAATAACGACTATTGCCGTTATATATTATTTATATTCCCATCAAACACTACCACTCTTCCACGTGAGTAATGTATGATCGCTTATCGATTATTAATCCCTTATAGTGCTAATAACGGAAGGCGGCCTAATTGTTGCTGAAATAAAGAGTGATTTAAGAAGAGATCTTATCACGAACTATTTCCCTTATTTGTTATAACGGATCTATTAGGGATCTAATGTTATTCGAACATTTTCATTGGCGTAATGAAGCCCTAATCCGCAACTGACGTAGTGAAACCCTAATCCGCAACTCACAAGCACTCCAAGCAACAACGCGCAACGTCACTCACACATCCATAACTCGAGGAGCCCCACCGAAGTATGCGCTTCTCTCCGTTGACTCTCGCGCCCGCTAACGGTTATCTCTTCGCGCGCCATCGTGCCCTTCTTTAAATTTATTTCTAGTTCCCCCACTAACAAGGGCATCATGATGAGGCGGTAGCTGCGTAAAATCTTACATGTTAAACTGGTCTATATTTTCTTATCGATATCAGAATTTTTTTACCAAGCTAATCCCAGTGACAAGGATCCAAAAACTTACACGTGATCTTTGAAGAGTAAATCGTGATTTGCTCAAACAATTGGTTGAATCAGTTTATATATCGTTACAAGACAGGAAACAAAACTTTGCATATACTCCCTCCGTTCCTATTTTATCTTCCAAATAGGTTTGGCACACAATTTAAGATAGTGGGTATTGTGTGGTGGGGAGTTGTGCAGAGGAGAGAGAAATGTGTAAGAAATGTTGTAAACCACAAATTTTTTACTAAAAAGGGAAAGTGGAAGTTTTAATTGGAACACACGAAAAAGGAAAGTTGTAAGTTTTAATAGGAACGGAGGAAGTAGATCATTTTTTGGTCATCATTTTAGAAACGGATTGCTAGTATAGTGTTCTGTAAGGCCATGTGTAGTTCTCGTCCCTTGGGCATATATGACTAGGGATGGACTCGGGCCGGGTGGCCCGACCCGGAACCGGCCCGGGACCGGCACTGTTCCGGCCCGGCCCGACCCGGTGGCCCGGTCAGTGACCGGTCCGGGTAGGCCCGGCCCGTGGGTTTTCCGGTCCGGGCTCGGGTCACCCAAAACAAGGCCCGACCCGGCCGGGCCCGGGCCCGGTTCGGGCCAAAAAATATTTTTTTTTTTTCAATTTTTTTTAACTTTTCGGGTTGGGCTGGGTATTTTGGGCCATTTGGGGTGGTTTGGGGGGTGGGGGTGGGAGGGGGGTTAATTAGGAAGAGGAAAAAAAAATATATATATAATGGGCCTGGCCCGGCCCGGCCCCGGACCGGACCCGGTGGTTACCCGAGCCGGTCCCGGGTCCACCATTTCTGACCCGCCGGCCCGCCCGGGCCTAGGCCCGACCCGGACCCGACCCGGACCCGAGTCCAACCCTATATATGACTAACTTAATTTCTATTGTTTTTATGAAATTATTATTATGAAATAAATATTCCTCTTAACAACAATTACTGCTATGTTTTACCAGAAAAGATATCTAAATGATTCCATGTTCTCAAAAAAGTGCAAATATGTGGTTTATGTGCACCATAATCTTCCACCAATAGGGTTTGCGTATGAAAATGATGAACAAAGATGGAAAAACGAGAAAATTAAAAAGGAACTAAATTGGTACTTAGCGCATGCCAGCTAAGAGAACCCCACCCCTGTTGCTCCTCCCACATGCAGTTTAGTCAAATCTCTATAATACTAATCTCCACTTCTGATACTTTTAATTCTGTAGGGATCTGTGTATGACAATATTATTACCATATTAATGCGGTAATAAATAGTAATTCCCACGCCGGTTAACAGGAAGACGAAGGAGGAGGAGGTGAACAATGAAAACAAACAGTTATCGAGCTTTGTAATTTTTCCGTTGTTCAAATGTAGCAGTCCCCCGGATTCTTAATTCTTCGATTCAGTTCAATCCGTCTATGTCACCTGTACAGACATACATCTACGCATCTTTACTGGTTGATTACAGGCAGATACGATAAGATTGCGCATTTTCCCCGATGGCGGCGAATTATAGTACGTCTCGTAATCCGGGGAGCTCGAAGTTTCAGTTTGGCGGAGGAAGTGTGAGTCTTGCGTCCAGGCTGAGATCCTCGTCGTTGAAGAAGCCGCCCGAGCCGCTCCGCAGAGCCGTGGCTGATTGTCTATCGGCTTCGGCTCCACCTCACCATGGAACCTCCTCGGCTGCCTCGTCCGAATCTTCTAGGACTCTCCGGGTTAGAATTTGCACCTGTTTTCTGCTAGATTTTTTGCTTTGTTTTGGGCTTTGGATATTGGTGCTTGGTGGAGGCATTTTCATGACTTTCTTTTGGTGAGATCTGTCCCCAGTTTAGCTGGGAAGGTTAAATTGTTTTTGTCTTGTTAGTGTGTAATTCTTGATTATTTAGGCTTTTGCCATTGGATTCGAAAAGTGGGTATATGGAATTAAAAAAAGAACCGATTTTGGTTCAGTTTTGCCTAAAACTAAAATGCATTACTTTACGTGTGTGGAAGTTGCTCATTTCATAAGCTCGTTAGACTGTTGGAATAATCTGATTTCCAGCTTCTGCTTTGTATTGAAAAGGTAGTAGGTAAAGAAGGGAGAAGTAGATGTAAACAAAGTATTTTACCCCTTATTTTGAAACGGCAGTAGGAAAAGAAGGGATAAGTAGATGTAAGATTTTCAGAGAATTGTAATACTAACACTCTCTCTAGTTCTGCAATGCACTTGTTGGTTTATTTAGCGCGCACACATACACATAGTAATATTGGTAAAGGCTGCAATTCCGGTTTAGAAAGTTTGTCACATCGACATGATTTATGAAGGTATACTCTTTTGTACCTCTACCTAAGCATAAAACTCAAAGGCATAATGCATGTGATGATTCAGTACTATAGACTTTTCCTCCGCGTGTTTTTAAATATTTCATTTAGAAGAGACCATAATAAATAATACCATCTTATTGTTTGAGTTTTTATTTGTACCTTTCTTCCTTTCAATGACAGACTGTCACTTCTTTTTTCAAGTCCTAAATTGTGGTAGTAGTTATCCAATGTTCAACATCCATTCATTAATGATGAAATTAGAAGCTGAACTGCAAGGGTTGTAGTTTACGGGGCTATCCAAAGATTATTAAGCTTAATATGCTTTCCAGTTTCCTCATCCCAATTATGTGTTCCAAATGTTGTTTATAATTTGACCACTACTTCCAACCTCCAAGGACTTTAAAATTGAACCATTTAACCTTGAGAGTGCATGTAAGAGGTGTAAGATTGGCCCTCCTTCCAACTATACAAACAAACAAACAACAACAACATTACTACAGTGCCAAAAAGGCTCTCACCTATGGTGGGGTAAGGGGGGTCAGATGTACGCAACCTTACCCATGTACTAAAGCACAGGGAGACTGTTTTCGGATGACTCATGATGAAAATTGCTTCGAAAATTGCATGGACTTACTGCCGCTTCATAACAAAGAAGCGCAGACAGTTGACTGAGCTATTTTGCTTTATTCCATCATATTCACAAGCCAAAAAATAGTGAGTCTTTGGCTCCATTGGAAATGATGGAAAACCCGTCTTCCAACTATATGTGCCAAAAAAGTTTAACATAAAAAAACAGTTGAAAGTTGAAACGACTGGATTTGGACCATACCGTAGTGAATACTAATTATTACAGTGTAGTTAGAATGATAATCATGAATGCAATTAAAAATGTGGCCGTACCGAAAGGATCATCTCATTCTTGGCTGATTGGCTCCTTGTGAAAATGTAAACTCACTTTTTTTACTTAATATGAGTCATTTCAATGTTTTTGACGTGACTAGGTTGCACTGCATCGATGTTTTAAATAAAAGGCTATACTTTTGCAGTTTTCTTAAATAAATAGCCATCCAAAGCAAAAATGGCTGCTTCTTCAATTGTCCCTTCTGTTTTTAATAAAATGATGGATTTGCTTATTTGATTATGGTGTAAATGTAATAATAGAAACACAAAAAGAAAATCTCATGATTAATAATGGATATATACTCTTTCACAGGATTACTTGGCCTCACATTCCACAACGGACTTGGCTTATGGTGTAATTTTAGATCACACCCTAGCAGAACGTGAGCGCAGGTGTGTCTTAGTTATTTGGTTATTTGTATGCTTTAATCCACCAAAAATTGTGGATGGATTTAAGTTATCTGCCTTGAACTGCAATGATATGAAAGTACATGGAAGCTGTAGCTTGGATTTAGTCTTTCAATTTACTGATTCTTGTCACTTTGTTTATTCCAGATCCAAAGTGGCAATGTTATGTAGTGAATCTGCTTTGTAGTGTTACTACTCCTATCTACGTATCTAACTCCCAATCTAAAAAAAGATATGAGATTTATTTTTGGCATGTCTTTCTAAATTTCGGCTCAGATTAGTCTCGAGTTTCAACTTTCAATTCATAGTAAACATTCTAAATGCCAAAGGGATCACTGAGGAAAAAAAACTAGCAGTGTTGAAAATAGCAATGTACATTATTTCGGCACATACTAGAAAAGAAAGTAGATGGAGTATTTCCCTTTTACTCTACAGTGAAGGTACTTTATATTAAAGACTTTTGAAGCCTATACAGAGTAATTGAAAGACAAATTTGTATTTTGTTGATGTAAAATTTTCCTTTCTCCACTAATATTATCTTCTCTTTTGCCTTAAACCAGCCCTGCTGTGGTAGCAAAATCTGTGGCACTTTTGAAACGGTATCTGTTAAGGTAGGCTTTACCTATTTCCATAATTACTTCTGTGATGTAAGTATTCAGTTATTAAATTATTATGGCTTTACCAACCGTTCTATTGATGCAAAACCTTTTTTCATAATGCTTTTTATCCGTCTGGAGTATATTAATTTATCATTGCTCTATTGAGTAATTGTTCCGTATTATTTAAAGAGGTGGGATGTTTTCAATGGATATACGGTCTCTGTTCAGAGTTCACCCCATATGTCTATTTAAAGAGTTAACAAATTTTCAATTGATATAGAACATGTGTTCACTTGCACCTCTGAAGTAATTTATAACATCTGTTCAGAATGCAATTTGCATCTCGAAGTGTAAACCATTTAGTAGCACGATGGATAAAGGCAAGCTCATATATTCCTTCAGAGCACCAACAAATATTTAACCTAAGCTTCGCTAGAACAAGAAAGATGATAGAATTGCCTACACTTTGCTTTAACAGCACATAACTCCTCACAGTACGGAGATTAGATCAATAGATGTCACTACATTAAAGAATTGACCTAGTTATCATTCGTTGATCAAATGATGAAATAAATCTTCTATCTCCCTTCAATTCTACAAAACTAAAAATGAAATTCAAAAATATATTTTTTGTTTTTATATAACTCTTAATGTACTATGTAGTTTTTAACTATATAAACTTATTAACTAAAGCTAGAATAAATATTACAAAAAATTAAACTGTAATGAAGTTTAGTTAAGGTTCTATATCCAACAAGGGCCACAAGGCTTTACTAGAACTATTGTCCTATTTCGTATTGGCAATTTACCGCTTTCGCCATCGTGGCTATGCAATTTCTTTTGTTTACTGCAGGTATAAACCAAGCGAAGAAACACTACTACAGATTGATAGGTTCTGCTTAAGCATAATTGCGGAATGTGATATGACTACAAACCGGAAACTGGCACCATTGCCACGTTCGTTAGGACAACAAAGTGGTGCATCGGTTTCATCTGTCACTGTATCTCCTTTACCTGTGTCAAGTTTTGCATCAGCTGCTCTTGTGAAGTCCTTACATTATGTCCGTTCTCTGGTGGCTCAACATATCCCAAAACGGTCATTTCAACCTGCAGCTTTTGTTGGGGCGCCTCTTGCGTCAAGGCAAGCACTCCCATCATTGTCATCTTTATTGAGAAGATCCTTCACTACCCAGCTAAACCCTTCAAATGTCAAAGAGTCTCCAAAAAGTATAGAAATGTCTACCATATCTTCTTCTTATTCACCAATTCTTGAAGAAGCTGATACTCTGGAAGATCAGGGTTTCATGCCAGTTGATGTTTTTAAGTGGCGTTGGTGCAGAGATCAACAGCAATCTCTATCTTTGCCTAAGAGGTAGTTAATTTTTTTGGTATTAAAGTTTTACTTACTTGCATAGTTTACATTTTGTGATTTTAGAAACCTGAAATTTCAGTGATCAAACTTTGAATCCCAAAGAAGTCAGTGCACATAATTTCCTAGAAGTTGGTGCAGCAGCTCTGCTTGTAGGGGACATGGAAGCCAAAATGAAGGGTGAGCCTTGGAGAGTATATGGCAGCACTGAAATGCCTTATCTGGATCAACTGTTGCAGCCATCTTTGCTGACGACTGTCACAAATTCTGCCTCTGCTCGTGCACACTTAAGAGCAATAACGGCACTAAAACGCTCTAAAGCAGGGCCTAATGAGATATGGTAACTTCCTACTTGGTTACTGAAATTGTTCATGTTTTTATTCCCTTTCACCTGGTTCCATAGCAGCTTCTGTACCTAGAGAGTTCTACGGCTCCTCATTAACTCTGAAATTTGAAATGTCGAGACCTGCTTTGTCTGATTTTGTCCTCTAATTTCTGCTAAAGAGATCTTAAACAAAAGCACGTCTGATATATATTTTTTTGAATATTCTAAATAAATAGGGAGGATTCTCCAGTGAGCACCTTCCGGCCTCGTACAAAGCCACTTTTTCAGTATCGCCACTACAGGTATACAGCTCCAGCATTTGCTTTATCCAAAGGTGTTTTGCTTAGACAGGAACAAATGTGAATGTTGTCCAAAGTTCATTCAGAGGCTGTAATTTATAAATGCTTTCATTATACTACCTTGTGATTCTATAATCCTTAGACAGCATGTTATGATCTTTACTTGAAAAAACATTCTACATTTTTCATCCTTCATTGGTTATATTGGGTGTGTGTGTGAGTGTGTGACAATAAACTTGCAATGATGGTAGTAAGTATTGTAAGATCCATGGGATATGTATCCCGATATGACACAAAAACAAGACTACCAATACCATTCGCAGGATAAGTCAAAATGGTTATGAATCGGTTGCCATATGATGTTGAATCGTATAAATTGCAAGACAAAAGAGCATCACATAATTCCGAAAACTCCCTTTGCATACGACTTTCTTGAGTTTCTTATCACTCTATCTTAATCAATGTACTAAATTGAATAGAAAATCTTACCATGTATGCCTTTCATCTTCCCTCTTGACCCATTCTTCTCTCGTTCTCCTCGAGATCTCATTCTGTTGGCCTCCTTCTAAATCCGTGGATGAGCGCATTTGTCCGCTTTATTTCTCTTTTAAGTCCGGCATGGATGAACACATTCGTCCCCTTTATTTCTCTTTTCTCTAATGGTGGATGCATGCTGGAGAGGAACTCATCCTTTCTATCCCTATGCACTTGATAAAAAATCTTGACAAGTGGGGTTGGACACCACACCTTTGCATAGTAAATGGACTGGTGACATGTCCAATTAGATAATGTTAAATGTACTATTCTGTCTACTATAGTGCAATTTCACTGTCTCCCACTATAGTTATTCTCTTTACCAAATATCTCCACTAATTCCATGATTATACTAAAATTAATAAAGCTCATAGATATACCATCTTTTATTTTGTTGGCTATCAATTAGGCATTTACTTTAATTTAACTGTATTATATTTTATTTGATCATGTCTTGTACGACTCAAACAATTTATGATTCAAAATATACATCTTATGATTCATGACTGAACCTAGATTTGATAACCATGCATGCCAGCATGTTACATTTCATAGTTCTAACATGAAAAAAGCGTTTGTAAATTTGTAGAGCTTTTGTTTCATCAACCATGTATGTATGTACCATCATTTTTGCTTCATTAAATTTTAGGCGATTAGCCTGTGCATGCCATCATGCACTGTAACTGAAGCTTAAAATTTATGTTATTTCAAGTTTACAACTGATTGCAATATAGTATACATCAACTAACCCCCCCCCCAAAAAAAAAAAGTACATTATTCCATTGATGATGTGTGAAACAACTGAGCTCCCTCTGAGAAGGGGAAACTTTTTGGCTTGATTGTCATTTTTGCAAATATATATCCTCCCTCACTATCTCTCACATTCAATATTTATGTCTGTTAGTGAACAACAACCTCTGCGATTAAACCCCACAGAAGTCTGTGAAGTTATTGCTGCTGTTTGCTCAGAGAGTCCTGCTCCAAATGCTTATTTTATGACGGTCTCATCTAAACTGAGTAATAACAGTGGAAAACCATCTATAGATGTTGCTGCTAGTGTTCTCGTGAAACTTGTTATTGACATGTAAGCGCTGCTGTTTTATTTGCGCTTTAATCCAGCACTTCTTTAACGGCATGCTATTTCTCAACTTATTGTTTTTGCCCTGAATGAATTTTTCATACTTGTGAAACATCTGGTGAGTGTAACAAATTTGTCATCAATGTACAACTCAAAGCATTCATTCAAATGAATATCATGCTCGTTGTTTCTTCTGCTAAGGCTGTTTCGATTTAAAACAAGCATTTACTCTTCTAAAAGTGTCATTTGGTTGATCAATGTTTTCTCAACGGAGTGCTGTATTCAAAGACCAAATACAAAATTGTAAATGTGAGATAACTCGTTTAAGCGGGCTGTAGCTTTTGTATAAACACGCATTTCTGAATGAGAAACTTATCGCAAGAAATTTTTGGTTCTTACCTACTATGAAGTATTATGCATTGTTCTTTTCAAAGTTGTTTTATGCCTTTTTTTCCTGTATTGTCTAATCAAGTTTTTTACCACACTGTTCAAAACTACCTTTGAAGCTGCACCTAAGGATGGCATTTTTCTAGTTCAAATTTTTTAATAATTTTTCTATTTTTTTCTTCAAATTGTTAACATCCTCCGAAGCTTCCTAAATTCTTTCTAAGCGAGTTGTGTGAGCTGAAACAACCTCTCTTCTTCTACGGGTAGAGGTAAGGTTTGTGTACATCTCACATTCTGTACGTCCAAAAAGGTTGATGCCCAACCCCAAGCCCCCCCCACCCCGACCCGACAGGATGGTGGGGAGGTTAATCACGGTGACTCAGTCAGCAAAGCGGCAGTAGGCCTTTACCCGTGCGCCACCAGAGGGCCAACCTTATTTCAGGTTCTGAAAACCTCCTTTTGGCCGCTGCGGGATTCAAACCTAGGTCTACATCCAATTTTTCCCACCGCTCGACCAACTGAGCTACCCGTGCGGGTACATCTCACATTCTGTAGACTATACTTCCGAGTGCATTTATTGAAAATGTTTGGTTTCGTTTTATTTGGCCTAATGCTATGCTTGGTATGGCTTCTCTAATGGACATAAGATTTTATAATGCGTGTGTGTGGAGGGTTCTAATGAGAACCCCTTTTCAAATGAGAACACATTTTTGAATGAGAACTTTAATCTCCACCTTTCATACTTCTAATCAATGACTAAAATTAACAAAGTGGCAATTTTGTAATTGTTTTACAATAATTATACAAAAGACCCTATCTGAAATTACAGCAACTACAAAAATACACTATGTGTGTGTTTTTACCAATGATTAAAAAAATGAGAGGTTGAGATTAAATGTTCTCATTCTAAGGATATCTTATTAAGAAGGGTTCTCGGTAGAAGCCTCCACCCACACACATATATATATAAACTATAAAGTAAGATCTTTTTACTTATCTTTGACATGTTTTGTAAAAATTGAAAATTAATTTTATCAAGAACAGCACTTTTACGCGTTTGAAGCCCAAAACCTTAGTTATTCTAAAGTTCTGTTAGAATACTTTAAAGAACATTTATTAACTTATAGCAGAACTTTTTAAATTTCAAAGTAGCTTCTTAATTAAAAAATTTATATGATAAAACCTCTCTCTAGTGTCTCTACTTGAAAAGTTGTACTGTAAACTACATTTTTGGCCCCACATTATACTCTGAGTTTTAACTCTTGTGAGTCAAACAAAGATAAAATGTGATTCCATGACTCGTGAGATTTAGAATGCTGGTCATAATCGTTTAGCAAAGAATTTTTTTATTCTATTATTAATGTCTTGCGGTAATATTTTTTATGCATTTTTTGACACGAACATTTTTAGTGTTGTTGTTAAAGTTGTTTATTAAGGCATTCGTTGCTTAACTTTTGTAGGTATGTTTTAGATTCTGAGCTTGCTGCTCCGCTTACTCTATCAATGCTTGAGGTGGGGATTTAGTGTACTCTTTCTTTCCCCCCCTTTACACCCCTGCAATTACCTGGAATATAAGATTTCTTTATTTCTTTCAAAATACAGGAAATGATCAATGCTCCTCGGTTGGGATCGAAAGATAGGGCATTTGATTTAATCCTTAATCTTGGAATTCATGCTCACTTGTTAGAGCCTCCAGCAGCTGATGAGGCTTCTTCAATTGCAGAAGAATATTCTGAAGAAGCATATTTTGACTGTGAAACTCAATTTTCTCCAGATAAGAAAAAACCAACTGGGAATTACGTGGCTATTGAGAAATTTGAATGTTGGATTTTAGGCATTCTTTGTGAGGTTCTTCTTCATCTTGTCCAGGTAGTTTTTATATCCATACAAAAGGGGATTTTTAGCAATCAATAATGCTCCTTAGTTTGCATGTTCTATTTGCAATGACAATCTTGTAGTGCAACATGAATATAACAAAGATCTCAACTCAATCTAATCTTATGATAGTTTCCATGAAAGTGGGAATAATTCATGGTGTTGTGGGCCTTGCAATTTTATCTCATTATTCATTCATAAGAAGGTTGCAACAGGAAGGCATTTTGATGTAAAACTTTGCACTAACTTTTACATGATTTTTTAGCGTTAACTAATGGTAGATGATGAAGAGAATTTTATGTACAATGTTCAATCTTGTTTTCTGTTTTTTAACTTGAAAGAATTCATTTTCTCTTATTCTCGTATGCAGTTATGCACACAAAATTATTTTGTGTGCCTTCTGCGGGTTTTATTTAGATGCTTGAGAGCAATTTCTTAAAGTGCAATGTGATATAAATTCCTATATTTTGTCTTTTATCTTTCTTATTTGAGTGGTCCAGCTGGACCCATATGCTCCTGAGTTTTTCTTGAACACTATATTTAGGCTATTTACGCACTTTTTCTAAAAGTAATGCCAAGTTCTAATTCTCCACTATCTTTCATAGGATAAACTTTTTTTTTTCACTTTACTGGGTGCAGACGGAAGAGAAAGAAGAGTCTGTATGGGCATCTTCCCTGAGCTGTTTGCTTTATTTTGTGTGTGATAGAGGCAGAATACGGAGAAGCAGACTTAGAAGTCTTGACATCCGAGTAAGTTGTGTTCTATCCCTTCTGGTCATCTCTGTCGTGTTCATCCAATTGCTTGCAGAAGAGTAAAGGATAAAAGAAAGAATTGCACATGCTTTATCAGATCTGCATGCTCACGAAATCTTTAATGGACTAATGGTAATTTAATTGGAATATGTGGACTAACCTTAAAGAAATACATAGTTGGGTGTACAAAAGAAGACTCTTTTGAAATGGGTGAATCAAACCAGTCTCCCATGGAAGATATATCAATTGATGGATCCAAATGGTTAATTAAAAGAGCAAATCCGAATTACTTATTAAATCTTTTTTTAAGGAGCTAGTCTAGCTGTAGTTGAATGAACTTAATGATGGAACCTTCCAAATTGTCTTGCTCGTTTCGATATTTAAGTATGCTATATTTTTGTTGCATGACTTCAGCTTCAATGTATTGTCTTTGTCCTGGGTATAGCATGCATCAGTACTCATTGTACTTTGGTAATATGTTACTAGTCCATACAGAAAATATCAATTCATCCATTATTATCTACTCTCATGCAGCTAGAAGAGCATTTCCCCTTTTTTCTATTTTATCATATGTCTACTATTACTGTCTCATAGGTTGTTAAGGCACTTATAGAAGTTAGCAGTAGAAATTCATGGGCAGAAGTAGTTCATTCCAAGCTTATTGGCATGTTCACAAATATGTTCTATGAAATACCAGAGGACTCTGATAAATCTCTACCAGCTACACCTGCTTTTCTTATTCAGCAAGTTGATTTGATCGGTGGAATTGAGTTCATTTTTGCAGAGGTAAATGCTGTAATAATTCTTCTAACTATGTGCGCCCGTTTGGAAGTTTAATTTTTGGATTACATTTATGTGATTAAATATACTTTTATTTTACTACTTATATCCAAGTAGTTAAATTGGTACTCGGTGGCTATTCGGTCATGGGCCAAGTAGCGAGTAGGATCAGTTGGATGATTACTATGTGATTTCTTGGCCTTAAGTTATAAAATTACATGCCACAAAGCTCTAGTAATGTTCGTTTTATATGTCTAATATATTTAGTAAAAAATGGTACTCTGTAGTTCATAGTAAGTAGCATAAGTCATGAATATTTAGGATGTTTTTAATTGGACTGGTTTCATCTCCAGACCAGAATAGACCAGACCGCAGCAAATTTCGACAGTGGTAAAACACACATAAATGATAAAACATACATCTACCAGACCAGATTTAAACAGACCTAATCAGACCAAACCAGACCGGACCAGAAAATTTCAGTCCAATTAGAATCATCCTTGAACATCCATCATTTAATCAATCCTCATTCTGAACTTTATAGCGTTAACTAATCCTCGTAAAAACTTCAAGAGGAATCCATTACTGCAAATTACTTCTATAGTACACAAATCCCTTGTAGCCATTCGAAGAGGAAACAGAAAAAGAACTCAAGAAGATGACTGAAATTTCATCAGGACACAGGGCTACAGCTCTCGTCTAATATTCTGAAGCTCACCATGTGAAGTCTTAATCTTAAAACTTCCAAAACCTTGATTTTGTAATTTTTTTTCTTTTATTAAAATTATAGCCCCTAATTCCCCCCCAGTCATTATTAGTCACTCTTGTGTTTTTCCTGTTATCATCGTATCCAGTGAGCTCAATCCAGTTAAATGTTTCTACCAAACGGGCACTATATTGCGAGTATGAAATTCTGCTCTCATGGTGCCTTTCAGGCGCTAGCTGACACAATTAAGGACTACGTGGGGTCATGGCCATAGCCCGTAGCCTAAGTTTGTAAAAGACACACAAACACAGACATTCGTGCTACACTCACTCTCCTTTTAAAAAGTCATGTTTCATTAATGAGATGATTTTCCATGTTATTTACAAATAAAGTGCTACAAACAAGTTCAATAGGATTGATTTTGTTAATAAAAAAATCAAAACATGGGTAGAAGTTCCTGACTTTTAAGAGTTTGTACTTCATTGAATTTTAAAAATGTCAATTTTTTGGAGAAAATGAGCACACACACAGACATCCTTTTTTTCTCCAAGTTCTTTTTTCTTTTCAATAGTACTTTGTTTCATCTGTGAGGGTACAGGATTGAACATGCTTTTTGAAAGAAATAGATAGAGAATATATAGGGGGAGCTTCTAAAAAAACTGATTTTAGGAGTAAATTAGAGCACCAGAATCACTTCTGCATTTTCACCCAAACACTCCAACTTCTGCTTCTGCTCCCAGAAGGAGCAGAAGCAGTTTTATAAATCAGATCCAAACACCCCCATAGTATCAGATCACAATCCATGGTCATAGATTGTTCCAATTCCCACGTCCTCCACTGCTTGTAAGTCTATATAGTCGTATAGGTTATAGAGTAAACTATTTTAAAATGTTTTTATTTTATCTCTTTGCTGTTAGATGTGTATAATGTGTGTGTGTTTGTGTCATGGTGTGCGTATATATAGAAAAGATGTTGAACTTACCCTTTGGCAGTTTTGCTGAAAAGCTGTTAAGGAACAGAACATGGTCAGGCTCTAGGGGCTCCTTTTTATTATTTTTGTATACGGCTTTTTAAAATTTGTGATTAGTAGTCATACCATCATGAATTCAATATGTATTCCTCAAGTCATCAGTTAGAAACTTAACATGATATTTATGGGCATAATCCTGAGTCCCTGACAATCTTCCCTCTCTATTGCATTATTAACATAATATTTCTAACACAACCTTCATCCCATACAGTAGAAGTTACCTGCCCTAGATGGGTAGTTGGGTACTACTTATGTTTTCTCTTCTGACTGTAGTTGTATAGAGTTCTTCATAAACATATTTAGATATCACACTTATATCATTCTGATTTGCAACTGCAGTTGATGCTGTCAAACTCTAGGGAAGAGAGGAGGAATCTTTACCTTGTTTTGTTTGATTATGTTGTGCATCAAATAAATGAGGCATGCATGATGGCTGGAATTTCTGAATATAGTGATGATGAAGTTCAACCTATTGCAACACTACTTATGCTTGCAGATGCACCTGAAGCATTACACATTTCAATCAAACTCGGGGTGGAAGGTATTTTGGAGCTTTTGAGAAGATCTATATTTACCCCACTGTCCAGATATCCCAGTAGCGATCGGCTTATTACGGTAAATATCTTGTCATCTGTGTTATATCTGCTTTGTATTTGACTTTGTTATTGTCTTGTTGATGATCTCGCAATTCAAAAAATTTGGTAACAAAGTTGTGTTTGCACAATCAACTTTAAATTTTGAAATATGAATTTAGCAATCCATCAATATGTCCTATGGGGAAGCACTTCAAATGATTATTTGTGTTTATTAAACATACTTAGATAGTTAGATATCAGAAATTTCCTTTTTTTGTTGGACTCGATAAAGATTTATATTCCTTTACTGCTTATTACCTTTTCCTCATGCTTTTCCCTTGAGGGGCCTTGGGGGGGGGGGGGGGGGGGGGGGGGTAAAGGATTTGATGTGTAAACCCGTGCAGTGTATAAATGGTAATTGACCACAACCTATGAATCACATAAACTTCCCACGGCTCACGTTTCCCTGTTTTGGGAGCCCTGAAACTTCAAATTTTCGAGCAGAGCTGTTTCTGTAGTTAAAAAGAATTGGGAATCCCGTTTCCATAAATAATTAGCGTTTCAGAAACTTTGAGTTTCTATTTTTTCATGGCATTCCTTGATAATTAATAGTGCCCTTTTAACTTTTGATTGAATTTTTATGGGATTTCTTCCTAGCGACATTGTTATATTCCATGATGCAATGTGTTGCTATAAATGTATTGCATTTTATGTCTATGTATTTTGTAATACCGTAGTATGTAATAATCTCTAAATTTGAACGTGTAGACTATATTTATTACTGCTAAAGTTATATGAAAAATATGTGCATATATAATAATGTAAAAACGCGTATAAGTATATGATAAAAATATGATTATTTATATCTATATATCCTTATATTTTTTAATGTATACGTGTCCCCCCCCCCCCCACATTTCTTATCCTATATTCTATATAAATCTTGTTTTTGCGCTTCTGTGCTACTTAGGCGTAATCATAGATTGATAAAAAATATACACACATTTAGCCATGAAGATACATTTAGAAGATCAAGTGACCTCACATATCCACCCCTATAGAAACAAATAAGTGAGTTAAAGGATTTTCATGGTAATTTTTTCCCCGTTTTTCTTATGCAATCTGTGAAGTTGTTTTATGTCATCTATTTTTATTTCAGTTCTTGGAAAAAATTGTAGAGAAACTTGAAATGCTTATAAAGTCATTTACACATCTTGACAAAGAGTTTGCCCAGTCAAGACAAATGACGAAATCACTCAAATCTTTGAAAAGCATCGATGAAGTTTTACTTCTAAAGAATGGAATAGATGGGGTTTCTGGAAGCAGCATTCACATGAAAGCAAAACTTTCTTGGGCTACATTACATTCTCTTCTTCATTCAGAGAGAACTGCTTGTCGTCATAATGGCTATCTATGGTTGGGTGATCTGCTGATTGCGGAAATTACCGAGGGAAGGGATGAAAGTATATGGTCAAGCATCCGAAAGTTGCAGCAGAAAATAGAAGCCCTTGCTGATGTTAATGATTATTCACCAGATTTAGATATCCCTATATCTATCTGGCTCATGTTTGGGATGTTGAAGTCAAAAAACAGTGTTATCAGAATTGGATTCCTATTTGTTTTAGAGAGGCTTCTCATGCGATGTAAATTTTTGTTGGATGAGAGTGAAGTCCAACATGTGATAAGTGGTGAAGCTGTTGGAAATCTGCATGACAAGAGTCGCCTTGAGAAAGCAAATGCAGTGATAGACATTATGAGTAGTGCATTGTCCCTGATGGCCCAGTTAAATGAAACAGATGGTTTGAATATATTGAAGGTACTTATTCTGTCAGGCTCTATCCTTTTGGTACACATTTTATCATCACCTGTTAATGAAATCGGAAAAACTAATGTTGTTGTACATAAAATTTGCATAGGAATTTGAGAAAACTATCAAATAAGCCTGTGTAATATATCCAAAAAAGCAATTAAACCCTCGTACTAAAAAACACCCAATTAGGTCTATTATTATTTTAGCAGGTTGTTTGTAGATTTTCAGGTAACCATTGTAGCAGGTTGTTTGTAGAAGTATGAACTCATAAAATACATCCAAATTATTATTTTAGCAGGTTGTTTGTAGATTTTCAGGTAACCATTGCCACATCACTGTCCAAGCCGGCAGTCTCCTTTTACCGGCTAGCTGGCAGCCTCCTTTTCCTGATTCCTATAATCAGTTGACTGTTCTTCTCTATTTATTAGTTTTCATTTTATTTTTAGCAAAAATGTCCCCTCCCATTCTTCCAGCACCCAATTAACTGAACCATTTGAAGCCATGGACGGCACCAGAAATTCAAGAGACATTGAAAGAATCATGAGGCTGCTGAGCTTGAGACTTCAGGGGACCAAAATTGATCTCATCCGAGGGTGCAGCAATGCAACTTCGTTTTCCCATAGAGATGGCATCACCGAGCCAATCCCTTTGCTGGGAAGAGGAGAAATCCGGTGCATGTTCCCCTGTGTTGCTATCCCATGTAATAAAAACTGGCGCATAAGGGGAAGAAGAGTAGAAGACAGATCTGAGCCTGGTACACAACTCCACCATCTATATGCCTGAAGCCTACACCCGGTGTCGCCACCTAGCTTCCTCCTTCTCCTCAAACCTTGGCCCCAGAAGTGACCCCGTCATCTCCGTGGCCTCTGGTGGTTTGCTTAATCCTTATCCTAGATGACTCTATGTTTTTGTTCACTTCTTGCTTATTAAGGAGTTGAAAGAAGTAGCTAAGCCAAGGAAAATTAGCCGACCCCTCCAGTCACCTCATACTATGAACTTCGCGTACAGGGAGAGGGAGAGATGAAAGACCAGATCCAGACTCATTGACAATGTGTTTTTTTGAACCAATTGCATATTTGTGCCACATTGGTCGCCATGTACATATTTAAGCTGCTACCAGTTGTATACCGGCTAAAAGTTCAATTTGTGTGTTTTATAATAGTTGAGGTGCTTGATTTGATGATGTTTAGGTACGAGGGCTTAATTGTCATTTTGGTTATAGTATGAGGGTCTATTTAAAGGTTTTCACTAGAAATTTTCATTCCTTAAGGTAACTGTTGATGCGACAAAGTTTTCAGGTAATGCTATTTTATTACTATAATTATATGATTCCTGACATTTGCTGTGATTACAAATTTGAAATTTCCACTTTTTGGGACAAGTCATCTTTCTTCAGCTTAATTGCTGACCTTTAAGAGTTGATGCCAAAAACATTTTCAGGAACTAAATTTTACAATTTTGTATTGTCTACATATGCTTGATTATAAAATATTTTATTTCATAATCTGTTTGGAAACTAATTTGGTCACAAGAAACAATATTTATGTCAATCTTTAAATAGGCAGAAAATCTTTTTGGCACCTTGTCTTTGTAACTGAGTATCTGACAGATGTAGAACATATGTCTTTGGTGGTGATATACCCAAGAGTTGAAGTGTATGTGTCTTTAGATTGCCATTCTTCCTTGAGCTCAGAATTTTCAGGGTTGTCTGTTGCAGCTATTCCATGAAATATTGTTTGAATAGTAGCAGCCTATTAATTATTAATTAATGGACTGTTGCTTACGATTTCTTATCTTTTGATAGCCACGTAGAATGAATATCTATATATGGTAGTTAAGAATTTTATTATACTATCTCCATCCCCAAAAGAGAGGCCTGTTTGACATATGTACAACTTTTAAATTTTTGTAAGATATATCAGTCAATATATATCATGAATCGTACTTTTATTTTTAAAAACTTGTTTGCTAATTTAACTAAACTTCTCACTTGTAACTTCTCTGCGACTCTGTTCTGGCCTTCTGTTTTGGCAAATTTTCAGCAAAATTGACCTTGTTCTATCTGCCCGAACTCTTATTCTATAGGACAAAAAGTATTTAAAGCTCGACTCTTTAATTACAAATAATCACGAACTCTCATACTCCATGCAGATATATCATTATGTATCCCGTTCTTAAAATGATGAGACATATGTGAGAACCTCATGTACTAGTGTTGCTGGTATTGATGGCTGCTCTTCGTTTATTGTTGGCTTTGGTTGTGCAGATGTGTGAAATTCTGTTGTCTCAGTTGTGCCTTAAAGTTCTTCCCTCTGGTGTCAAAGACACTGGCTGGAACAAGAAGGATGATGCAGGGGAACTTCATCCTCTGTATCTTGAGGAACCTTTCAAAGACACCAATACCAAACACGGAAAAAGTAAAGACCCGCCAATATGTGAAACTGCGTCCATGGCAGCACTGCTTCTTCATGGGCAAGCCATCGCTCCTATGCAATTGGTTGCACGTGTCCCTACTGATTTGTTTTATTGGCCATTGATTCAACTTGCTGGTGCTGCAACAGACAACATTGCATTAGGTGTTTCAGTTGGTAGCAAAGGAAGAGGAAACGTTCCTGGTGCTACTTCAGATATAAGAGCCACCCTGTTATTACTTTTAATTGGTAAATGCACTGAAGATCCTGCAGCTTTTGAAGATGTTGGTGGAGAACCATTCTTTAGGTGATGTATTGTCTAGTTAGAATAAAGTTTTAACGCTTTTGATGTCATGACTATAAGGTCATTCTTACCTTTTGCACTGAGTTCATTTTTTTCAATTTTTGTGCATGACTATGGATTTTGTGTCACTTTCTGTCCATTACAATTTATGATCCGGTGAAAATCAACGGGGAATTTACCAGCTTAATGATCGGAAGGACCAAAAGTGACAACAAGTCTATAGTTGTGGCCTAAAGTAGAAGAAATGAAAGTCTGGATTCAAAAGTGGGGATGACCTAATTTTTATGACACATTGACACCAAATATGGATTTCTTTTTTTAGAATCTTAATCCTCCTTTAAGTAGTTGTAGGTTGATTTTTCACTTTGCATGCATGGGTATTTTTCAGGGCATTACTGGAGGATATAGATTCAAGAGTTGCTTATTACTCTTCCACTTTCCTTCTAAAGGCAAGTGCTTTTTCTTGGTTTGATGAAATGGAGCTTTAGACTTTAGCAGTTAATCTGTAAGTATTATTACTGCACTGTTTTGTTAATTACCTTTAAATTGCATTTTTGCAGAAAAGAATGTCCGAAGAACCTGAAAGTTACCAGCGTTTGCTACATAATCTTGTTTCAAGGGCTCAGCAGGTATGAACACTTTCAAATGACTCCTTTTCATCAAGGCATATGTCTGAGTACTCATATTGTGTTATGGGCATGGTTGGGAAAAGAAGAATAAAATCGATGAAGAAGAAGAACCTCTCTGTCTTATGCAAGAGAAAGTTATTTTCTTATGTTTCGGTTTGGTTTAGCAAAGGAGAACAGAATATGATTAGGTTTTTGTCATGTTTATATAATTGACAAAAATAAAGAAAAGGGGTACTATAAAGATTAAAGATTAATTTATTAAGTTCTAGCTTATCTTTTATTTTCTTCCACACATTCTTCCCTGTAAAAAACAAATTTATGGTTTATTTGTTATTATCTTTCCCTAGCATTTTTCGGGTTCCAAATGGGCACACTATGATCTGGAATTGTTTTTCCTTTTTGGTCTATTGAAAAACTTTTTTTGTTGACAAGTTTGTACTTAAATAAAGAAATTGGTAAAATTATTACTATGATTAATTGCGTTAGCGGTGTTCCTTTTCAGAGCAACAACGAAAAACTATTGGAAAATCCCTACCTCCAGATGCGGGGCATACTTCAGCTATCGAGTGACTAATCCATGTTCTTTCCCAAGTTTCAAACATCCACCAACTGAAGAATCTTGATGTATATCAGTTGTAGTACTAACAAAGTTCCAATGCTGAAGGCCAGCAACCAGCGTGCACTTGTTTCAATCAGTTGGTTGAAATGCCGCAATCATGCCAACTATTCTCTTCTTCAGATCTATTATGCAGCCTATGTTGCTTTCTGGAAGCATTTCTGGAGGTCTGTAGCACAATTGTGTGCATACCAAGGGATGTGATTAAGAATTCCTTGTTTCATGCAAATATCTTAAGAGGACTAGTGGCATAATGCAAGAGTTTGTTGGCAAAAAGATGACAAACATGTTGTTGACCTTCCAAAGGAAGTTCCAACACTGAGCCATCCTCAGGTACTCGATGATCTATTTTCTATAGTAGTTTTATTCATCATCATCATTCCCCTGTGCCGCAAAGGCTCCCACCTACGGTCGGATGTACGCAACCTTACCCCTGTACTAAAGCACAGAGGGACTGTTTCTGGATGACCCATAGTAGTTTATTATAAGTTTTTTTTTTTAAAATTTTGACTATCATGTTTTCTTTTTCTCATCACTTCAATATCTTTTCGAGAGTTCTATTGTATGTATAAGGCATGGTATCACCACTGGTTTGTTAGAAAAAACTATCCATGCCATTTCAACAATTCAATGTTTTGTATGTCCCTACGTAGCTCCACCCTAGCCCCCTCTACTTTGACTGCTTTATACTTTTATTACTTCGGCATCTCCCCCGGCTAGGCCTCAGTTTGTTGTCTAAAGCTTTTTAGAATTTGATATTTTATGGTTATACCACAAAATTTGATATTCTATGCTGATGAATGTGTAGGCATCAAAGCGATTAATGATAGATCTCAATAGTATAAATGAATCTTATATGTTATAGCTACTGTGTTTAACTGAAATTCAGCATTTAGCGACTGTATAACTGAAATTCAGCATTTCGATAATGCACCCCAAAAATTAAATATTTCCTAAATGCATTGAGAAAAATACATGCAACTCTATTTACTACTCCCTCAGGTGAATGCGCTACTGAATACTGATAACTTTGTGTTTTCATTGCTTTGAATGTTGTGTTGCAGGTAATAAGTGTATATGAGTATATCAAGTTTTAGAATGATAATAAATGGTGTACAGCACATGTTATCAAGAATCCGGGTTTTCCCCCATGGAGGAAGAAGGTATTTATGAAATTGTTTGAGTAGATTAGCTTAGGAAAGATTGTACTCTTTGAGGTACAACATAGGAGTGCAAGTTTTGTAGGGATATCTCTTCACCAAATTGTTCACTAGCTTGTGGTAAATAGGTTCTTGTTTCATATGCCTTAGCGTGAAAATATGTTTGAAGGGGTTTTTGTTTTATTGCCCCCCTACAAGCTATGTTGTGCTGTAGATGTGTTCAGCACATTTTTTAGTGCTGATCTAGTAGTACCTAGTTTATTAGCAGTAGTTTATTTCTCTGCTTGCTTGTCTGGTGTACATTAATTGGTTTTGTAATGCTGTAGAGATGTAATAAAGTGCTAAATTAGCAAGGGATAGTGGATAACAAGGTGCTAAAAATAGCTCTGTTTTTTATGCTACGAGGTTTTCTCTGTGTTGGTCGGTCTGGCAATGGGGGAGGGACGCTTATGAGAGATTGATAGCGGTTATTTTAAATGTGTTACTAATTTTGAAAAACAAAAAAAAAAGTTAAAATGACCGTTGGGATCGGGACCACCTGGTCCGGTCCCTAAATTCTAAACCTGGGACCGGCTGACCGGGTACCTAGTCCTGACCCGGGACCTAAATATCGGACTTGGTCTGGTCCTGCACAGTACTGGACTTGGTTCCGAACCGGGCTGTATCATCGGACTATTCTGAGTGTTTTGTTTAATGTGAGAGACTATCTAATGGCATTGTTGATTGGGTCAGTACGGATTAGGGTCATTGATATGGGCGGCCTTAGTTACTTAGTCCAAAAGGTGGAATCTCCCACCCCAGGAGCCCCCCATACCTCTACCCGACAGGATTTTTGAGAGGATGTTAATCACGGTGACTCAGTCACCCCGATGGTAGGTCTTTTTCCCGTGCGCACCAGATGTCCAGCCTTATTTCAGGTTCTGTGACCTCCACACGGCTGCTGCGGGTTTCGAACCTTGGTCACTTGGTCTAAATTTTCCATCACTGAACCAACTGAGCTAGCCGTGCGGGTGGCGGCCTTAGTTACGGAATTGGGTGAGTAACCAGAACCGTCTTCATTGGGATTAGACTGCAACAAGCAATCCCCGTTCCTATAGCATGGCTTTAACATGAAACTAGATTAGGGATTTTTATTTTATTGGACTGTTTTCGGGATCAGACTAGATCAGTTTAGAACATAAAATTTCATTTATGTTCTCGATTTTGATTATTTGATTTATGTTCTGAATTGCTATAGAACTAGACAAAAAAGTGGCTCAGTCCACCCCACTAGTTACGGGATTATCTAAAAATCTAAAATGCATTATTAGTCAGTTACTATGCAAAGGGTTCCCGTGATGTTTAAGAAAAGATTTATGCCCGAGGAGTCGAGGGACATAAATTTGGATGTTTTTGGAATGCATCTCTATGAGTCACACCGTACAAGTTCATGATGAAGAAAAGCTAGATGTGAGATTTAATCATTTTCCAAAAAATACGTGGAGCTAGGGTTGGATTCGGTTCGGGCCACCCGGCCCGTGACCCGGCCCGGTACTGTGCGGGCCTGGGCCCGGGACCGGCCCGGTCGGGCGGTCCGGGACCGGGTATGGACCCGAACCGGTGGGAATGGGCGGGGCGGGCTCGGTGCTGGATTAATGTGACCCAGCCCGGCCGGGTCGGGCCCGGGCCCGGGTCCGGTCTTAATTTTAAAAAAAAAAAATTGGGTCTTGGGCTCTTGGCTAGTGGGCTACTAGCCGTTGGGGGTGGGGCTGGGGACAACCCAAACGGCTATATAGCCGTTGGGTGGGGTAAAGGGGGGGTCTGGGGGGTTGGGTGGTGGGGGGTGGTGGTGGGGGGGTGGGGGGTAAAAAAACCTATAAATACTCCTAATCTTAAACATTTTTTCATCTCTTTTTCAATTCTTCCTAAATCCTATTCTTAACTCTCTACTCTCTAATTCTCTTATTCTCCAATATATTATATTTATTATTTATATATCTACTTTATAGTTTATACTTAAGAAGTTAAGATGGAAAATCAAGATGTCATTATACGGTATAGTTTTGATAAGCAGAAAGACCCGAAGACCGGGATGTGGTACGCAATTTGCAAATGGTGCGAGAAAAAATGTAGCATGGGGGTTTCAGGCGGATACGGGATGGCAATCAAACATATGAAGTCCGATTGATTACAATTTTCAAAATGTTTCTCTTAAAGTTTGTTTTAATTTTCAAATGTAGTTCCTATTTCATTTCAAATAAATGCACTTGAAGTTTGTTTTTAATACTCGTATAAAACTATAAACTATAAAATATAAATTATAAAAAAAAAATTAACCGGCCCGGCCCGAACCGGACCCGACCCGTGACCCGGGCGGGTGGCCCGGCCCGAACCGGACCCGTCCAACCCTCGGGCCGGTCCCGGGCCCATGTCATACAAACCGGTGGCCCGACCCGGGCCCGACCTGGCCCGAGTCCATACATACGTGGAGCATTAGGATAATTTTCTGGAACATTCTAATTTAATTTGATTAAATTAACTCTCAATAAAGTTATGATGAACAATTGTACTTAGTATTCCACGATAATAAGCTATAACTCTGTACTCCATAGCGATCAGTCCTATAAACTTGAAGAGAGCAATTCATGTGTGGCTAGGTTTCTCTCGCGGTTCTTCTCGTGTAGGGTTTTCTTTGTGCGGCGTTGATTGAAGCTTGGGGCTTTATTTGCCATATTCTCTTGATGCAGAATTGCAGAGTGATGTCAATAGCGTTCAACGAAATTAGAGGTGATCGTGGATCTATGTCGACTAGGGTTACGAGGCATGACTTTTAGGTGCTTGTTTTGGCTACTTTGGCCTTGTTGTCGGCCGGGATGGAAGTTGCACCTAGGGATGGACTCAGGTCGGGTCAACCGGCTCGTAACCGGCCCGGTACCCGGGTCCGTGCCCGGTTCGGGCCACCCGGCCAGGTACTATTTCGGGGCGGGCTCCGGGTCTCAAAAACATGAACCAGCCGGACCGGGCCCGCTTCGGGCCAAATTTATTTATTTATTTGTTTTTCAAATTCTTTAAAAGGTAAATGGGTTGGGCTGGGTGTTTTGGATGGGTTTGGGGTGTGGGGGTAGGGGGGTAGGAAGTAATTAGAAAACCAAAAAAAATAATGTACTTGACCTGGCCAGGGCCTGACCGGACCCGGTAGCTACCCGTGCTGTTTCCTAGGCCTCAAGAAACCAAAAAAAGCCCGGTCAGGTCCGGCCCGAGTCCAAGCCTAGTTTCACCATTGACGGATGATCTGGGTGGATCATTGGTGGTTTGGAGTCCAGATAAAGGGGCAAATTGGGGCTACAATCGGTAGTTTGGGGGATTGGCGTGATTGTTTTGGCCGATTCAGTGAGTGGGTGGCCGTATGGGAAGATGAAGCGGTGGTGGTTCGTCACCCTCCTGAACCACCGCCAAAGAGTGACAAAGATGCTAGGGATTGGAAGTTAACAGTTCCAGACGTCCTGTATGGATTTGGGCACCTGAAATTTTTTAGTTTTTTGTTGTGTTAGTTTTCATAAGTATTTGTTTTTGTTTCACAATGCTGCTTTCAATAATATTTTGGGTTGGAGGGGAGTTAGCTGTGTTGTAAGGGTGTTTATCACCTCGGTCAGAAGCTTTGTGGCTTCAAAAGTCGCATTTGTCTTCAAAGCTCTCACATGGTTTGCGATTTGGTATCCTCATCTTAGGGTGACTAATCCTATGTCCGATCAAAGAGCGGGATGACCTTCGAATTTTGAGTCTAGTGGGAGTTTAGATTTTCAATTTGAGTCTGATGTACTCTTTTGGTTGCAGTTTATTTTAATATAAGCAAGTTTCCTTTTAAAAAGAATAACTCTGTACTCCATTTATCTACATATAATTCTTCATTTTCAAGTTTATAGTACATGAACTACAAATTAAAGCATATACCACTGAAGAAATTGTTAATGAAAGAAGATTCTGATAAAAAATATTGTTCCATTAGACCATTAGCACTTCTCAATATCAATTAGGTTATTCACGACCTGGTTATTCTCTTTTCAAATTACTTGTATAATTTGCATTACACAAAAAGAAGATTTTGTGATTGATGTAATTTCATTCTTTTGTGTTAGTTGTCACTATTAAATCTCCATTCTTTCTATTTTCATTCTTTTTAAAAGTAAATTCTCTTTCCTATACACAAAAAGAAGATTTTGTGATTGATGTAATTTCCCATCTTAAAAAAAAGAAATCACGGTTTTAATTTTCTCGAGAGATTAGAGAGTGTGATGTAGACATATAACGCCTTAACTCCTCTTCAAAAGGTCTTATAGATATTATATATATGAAAATCATCAATTACCTATTGGAGAACGAATGGGATCCTATCCTTAGCCTTAGCCTAGAGCCAACTCCCCTTGGTGCACCCATTTAATGATCCTCCCTTGACATGGGTATATCAACATGCTACTCCGTATTTATTTTGTACATTTTTTACAATAAGTAGTGCGTTCATAGCAATTAAAGCGCAAGAGTTCTTCTAAATGGTGAACTGGGCCATGAAGCCAGTTCATTCCAAATGTTCATCTACTTTCTGTCCCATAGCGTGTAGAAAAGAGGTAATTCTACTACTTTTATGTCATTCTTGCATGAAGATTGCGAGACCAGCTAAATCCATCAGTGCCTAAAGACTCAAGGCCATACTACAACAAACGTTAACTAACGGACATATGTCTAGCTAGCTGATTAAGTCTAGCTATATGCATGGCCAACCAACCATTAATGGTCACAATGCATCTGAGTCTATCATAAGCAGGCTGGATATGATCAGACACTCTTAGCTCCCAAACGATACCTCTCCAAATCAGCATCTAGCTCAGCAACGGTAGTGGTGACCTTTTTTTTCTGAATGTTGTTTTTCTCCCTCCAGTTGTGCTCATCTCCAGCAGATTTTTGTGGCTTGCTGCCATTATAACTTCCAGCATGTCTTGAGAAACCTTCGTTTTCTCTTGCGTAATTATCAGCACCATATCTCCTTGGTGGTACACTGACATCAGCAATAATAATGACTCAGGATACGTTTAATAATCATATAGCTACTAATTATACAGTAAAACAAAAACTAGTAGCAAATTTCAATTGAATTGCTAGTTTATAATTACCATACCACTCAAAAGATGATCCTTTGGGATAATTTCCCAGAGCAATTCCAGCCATTGGAGGCCATGCAGGAACCACAAAGTTGATCATTCCAACTTCTTCAATCTTAATTGGTTTCCCATCAAGTGGTATATCGTTGTATTTTCTTATTGCCATCAAAGCATCTGATTTTTGAACATACACAACTTCTCCAGTTCCCTGTCACAAACAAACATCTCATTTCTTTTATCTCATGTATTTGTAATTGAAATTTAAGAGCACGTATGCATGCAATTCATCAGATCAAATCTACCAACCGCTTCATTTGATCATTTCATCGTCAATGTACACCTAGATACATTTATATATACACACATATATATATACCTTAGATCTTCCACTTTTATCACAATGGATAGCATACCTCTTCAACTCACCAATAGCTGAAAACAGAACCTGCAAGCAAACATTCAAACACCTCTACAATCTGCAACCAAATCATATGCATATAGTGATGCAAGAAAATCATAACTAAAATCTTAGTTCCTTTGATGGATGTTAGCAATTATACATATAATTCTACGTCTCTGCACACTAGCAGTCTAGCACTAGAAACCCTTCACGGAAGCGCAAAAAGCGATACTACTACTAATAATACTCCCTAATGATAATGATAATAACAATAACAATAACAATAATCTAGTTATTATTACAATAATTAAATTATAATATTCTCTAATAAATATGGAAACAGAGCTCAACGAAGAGTAAGTACTGACTCTAATGTCTTCTTCAGAAACCCTATATCCCAAGTTGGATACGTACAGCATCGTTCCGCATTCTTCTCCGCTCGCCATTGTTAATCGGCTTTTAACTCCCTGCAGTTTGTTTTGTTTCAGGTAGTATACGTACGAACGGTCTCATATACAGAGTATGCACATACAGAAACGTACGCAATATCGGAAAGCACAAATGTAGGAAGAATTCTGAAAAGGAAAGAGAAAACAGACCCGAGGAACGACGTACGGCGTCTCTCTAGGAGGGAGCAGTGCACGGCGAGTTGGTCCCGGCGAATGTGACCTTGAAATGCGGCGACCACCAGGAATGCCGTCACCGGAAGCATCGTACTCCATGTAATCCGCCATTTTTGGCAAACTTTGTAGAGAGAGAGTGCGAGCCGGTAATAGAGAGAGAGCCTGAAGTGGGTGGTACTCTCTGTTGGAGCGAGCTGGAAATAAGCCAATAAGCTTTCAGCTGAGGAGTGAGCCAAATTATCGTGGAATTTCGAGGTAGGATCTAATCATACTAATTTTCCAAAATTAAGACTAAGATTAATGTAAGACTTAAGTGCAGCTGCTTTGACAAAATTACCCTTGCTTTTAACTTCCGCAGCAGACCACATCTGATCGGATTTCCTTTGAAACGCAAGCCTCACCTTCTCTTCTCACTCATTTTTAGCTCCTCATATGACTCCAAAACGGAAAGTATCTCTGTCAGCTTTAGCTTCGGCTCACGGCATAAAAGAGGGAGGAAGGTGGACCATCAAGAGCCGGTGGAGGAGCAGAGTTCCGGTGGAATCGAGGATCAATGACATTATTCATTGAGAACTTGCAAACACCAGACAATACATAGACAGAAGTTTCTTCTTCTTCCTCCTCTTCTTCCTCATCTTCTTCTTCTTTTCTGATTTTGGAAATTGATTTTTCCAATTTCGAACTTCTATTTCATATTTTCACAAGGCCACCAAGTACTCTGCAAAACTTTTGAAGAAACTAGATCCAAATTCAAACTTGCAAACACTAGACAATATATAGACAGCAAGTAGTCAGTAAACAGACAATAAGTTTTAACAATAGCTCAATAGTAGACAATACATAGACAATAAGTAGTCATTAAACAGATAATAAGTTCTGATAATAGTTCAATAACAAAGCATGTAACGTAAAACTGGGAGGACATTGAACTTGACCTTGAATTTGGGAGAAAAGGGCTTATTAGAATCATCTCACGGAGGATTTTGAACTTGATTTCACGGAAATAGGGGGAATAGGGGAGGAGTCGATGGAATCAGAATAGGAAGGGTAGGAGTAGTTCTCCATGGCCGTGATTGCTGCGGAATTGATTTTTCGGCCTCTGTGTGTGTTTAGGGTTCCGGCGATGACGGGGGACGACCTCTCTGGCGGCGATGAACGGCGAAGAAAAGGACGACGTGATCCTGCGGAAGAAGCATGATGTTGGAGAAGAAGCGTGAGGGAGAAGATGCGCAAAAGTTTAGAGGCCGAAGCTGAAGGATAAAATTAGAAGGAAAAATAGAGTTTCCTGAAATAGAATTAAGTAAATCACACGGATGAAAAAAAAACATGACCAGGTCCTATTTTTGTAAACTTGCATTGATTTAGTCTTACAAAGAACAATTTCATCCAAATTACTACGGAGTAAGATTTATTTACAGGTCATGTTTTGGAAATGAGCACCATCCTCACTTACGAGCCCTTCCATTCGTCTAATTTGAATGTTACCCATTTCAATTTTTGAAGATCTAATCTAATACTCCGTATGATATGATATTAATCTTTTGATTTGATCTAGTATTATCGGAATTTTTCTAATCTCAATCCTACTTTTCTGATCCGTATCTTTCTAATTTGATCTGATTGAGAGTTTATAATAATAATAATAATAATTATTATTACTATTATTATTATAAAATTTATTATTATTGTTATTAGTTTCTACGTATAATTAAAATTATAATTGTAATTGTACTGGAGTAACAATAATCATAACTATAATTACAATCATTGGTATACTTAAAATTATATTATAATCATAATTATAGGTATATATATTATTATTTCTATATTATGATTGTTATTTTATAAATATAGTTATTAAGTTGTAATTATTATGATAATAATTCTTGTTATGATTATATTTATTATAATTATAAGTATAAGTATAATTATAATTATGATTGTGATTGTAAGTATGATTATGATTATAATTATGATTATAATTATGATTATAATTATGATTATAGTTATCATTATAATAGGTATTATTATTATTATACATATTACAATAATTGTAAGTATAATTGTGTGAACGTAGCCTAGATACAACAGTCGAATGATCTAAGAATAATAGAAAAAATTTAAATAGTAGAAGAGAAATTCAACAACAACTTATACAGTGTATTAAGAATGATGAATACATGAAGAACAATACACAGTACTCGAACAAGCTAGAGAGAGAATTTCTAATCTACGTGCTCTACCAGAATAATATGCTGAATAGAATGTGTAGAGACTTAGAGCTGATTTCGACCAACTCCTTCTGTATTTATTGGGAGTAGTTCGGACAGCCCTATTACAATTAGGAAACAACATCTTAGGTGTGTGGGCTTAATTAGAGCAAGATTAAATGAGCCTAATTCTCTCTCAGCTAAACTAATTAAATATAAAGACTCATTAAACAAATTACAAATAAATTGAACACAATAAATAATTATTCTAACATTCTCCCCCTTTGTGTTCAATCGTCAATGAAGCATGTGCTAAACGGCCGATGTTAGCAAATTCTTTTTAAGCAGGAACATCAACAACTGACGATGACAGAATCCTAACATACATCAAACAAAGCCTTACAAAAATGTCAAAACACAATTGACGGGGGGATTACAGAATTTTAGGGGAAGAAGTGGGGTTTTCATGTAGGCTAAACATGAGTATAAACACCATCGATTCTCCGCAATGCTTTGGCCAAAACTACATAAATACACAACAAAAGCATGTGCTCCAAGGGCATGACGACACAAGCTCCAAAACATAAGGAGACAATACGAATGATATTGACATAAATCATAAATTTTCATGTCGATGATATTACTAAGATCATAAACGAAACAGTATTCAACGTTTTTGCAGGATTTCGATTAAGTTCATGCAACCCGACTCGTCAACTTTAGCAACGGATGGAGTTCCCTTGGCCAACTGAAGCGTCGACATCAATGTGGACGAAGTCTCAACTCGCCAGCATTGCCTAGTTATGATCATTAGCACAAATTCAGAGGAAGATGATAGGAGATCAGCTTTCGTTCTTCATCGCTTTAATTAGTCAAAAAGACGGATTAAATGAGAATCTACTTGCACGGAAATTAACGAAGTCGTCTCATCTGACGAGTGATGGGTTGAAGGAAACATGTCGTCAGAAAAGTGACGAGTTGACAAAAAGCGTCTTGTTATACGAATGGCAAGTTGACAACATGTCTCATCAGACCGATGACGAGTTTATATAGGCAATATTCAAGGATGACAGGCATAGATGTTTTCAAGATTTTGAAAAGTTAATGCTTTACGGGTTGGCATGTGGGTCCATACGCCTCAACTTCTCGAAAGGGGGCAAATGTTGGGCCCAGAAATAATCCTTACACTCATGGGCCTGCAGGTCCTATGCATCTTATCAGTCCAATGACTTTGGAGGGTGTCTATGCGGCAAAATAGGAGCTGAGTAATTCAAATTGAAGATAGAAGCAAAGAGTACGGATAATAACAAAGGAACACCTATTTAGTTGGTAGTGCCACCTATTTAGGTGGGAAGTTATAGCCATGCGGTTGCAATGCTTGGGGAAGAAGAAAAACAGATATTAAATACATAGTGAGCCACCCATGTAACACACAATCATCCACGATCAATCACTACTACTCATACGTTCTTGTTATACTTCTTATCAATTACTATTATTATTATTAATAATTAATTAATTAATTATTATTATTATTATTCCACTTCTTATCAATTAATTAATTATTAATCCTAATTGGATCATTGTCGATTCAAGCTTGCATGATTCCCTCTTCATCAAATAGCTTTTGATTAGTTAATTTCTAGTTAAAACAACCGCCCAGTCGCCGCTAGTTTTAAACATCCAAAATTGTCATCTTGCTGCATAAAATGTCATTATATTCACAACATAAAAATAAAATACTTTAATCATATTAAACAAAAATGAACATATCATTGACTATTTTTTCATTAAATTTGATAATTTGTTGAAGAAAACAAGATTTATTATGTTATTGTATAAGGAGTATTTGTCAAATTTGCCATAAAGATGACAATATTTTCAAATCCATGTAACCAAGCTCCCATAACATGAGTTGTCAAAAAATTGGTAAAACACAAAGCCAATATCCAACATCGGGAAATCAGAATTTTAATTGAAATCAGAAAATTTAATGAAAGTAGAAATCAAAACTACGAAATCAGTGTCTAAAAATCAGAAAATTGATGCCAAAGCTAAAAAATTAAATGAAATCAGAAAATTTGTTTCGAGAAATAACAAACTCAATGGAGAAAATATGATTTTGCAGAAGAAAAATAGAGGAGGAGGAGGAGGAGGAGGAGAATGATAAGAGGACGACGAAGAAAACAATGATACCTGGAATTGGCGCAAAATTGAGTATGATGGTGGAAGAAGGGACGTCATAGAGAGATGGTGGTGGCGGTGGCGGTGGCGGAGAACCGGCGACGGCGTAAAAAAACAAAGGAGGCGGCAGAGATGAAAACGTGAGATTGAGAATTGAAGAACGTTTAGAAATCTATGGTTTCATTATTATATAAAAGGGTATAATGGTAATTGAGAATCATGTTTAGAAAATTATAAAAATGTAGTCTTCTTTGTGTATTTATGTTTAGCGTTTTTTGAAAAAATAGTTAAAATGGTTATCTGCAGCAATTTCAATCAATACAGCCACAAAAGTAACTATATATAATCTTATTTTTTTCTTATTATGCAGCGTGCGAAATCAAAAGTTACATGTTTGGTGAAAAAATTGGTTGATTATACCAATAAATAGAAAAACAGAATCATCAAATGAGCCCTTAGTTAATTTAAAATTAAGTTGATCAATTTTTTTCAATGAAAAATTGAATATGTATCATATTTCACAATCTACATATCTCCGATACATATCGGGCATGGATTCATATTTCAAGAAATGCAATGGTTGTCTTATTTTTAAAGATTATTTTTGAATCCCAAAATAAAATGCATGAAATGTTATTAAACCCTATTAATCCAAATAGCAGAATACTTTTTTGGTTTGTTGCAAACGATGACCCGCCCTCATCTATTTAGGAAAAATGGAAGAATTGTCGTGGTGAAGGATTAAAAATTTAAAAGCTGAAAGGGCCCAACCGGGTTCGAACCGATGACCTCTTGATCTGCAGTCAAATGCTCTACCACTGAGCTATGGACCCTTCATACTAAGCTGAAACAGTAATTGTTTTTAATTTTAAAACCTGCCAGTATATCTGTATGTCTAAAGAAACAAATTAGGGCCTAACCGTAACCAAGCCTGTCATCCCTTGATTTATGCGGTCAAATTACTCAAATATCCCACCAATTCCAACCCAGAGTTATTACGAGTATATTATAAATTAATAGTGAGAAATGTTGAGAAAATCTTAAATAAACTTGTCAATATAATAACACAATAAGAAATAAAGTGTAAAAATTAAATGTAAATTGTAAACTATCATATGATGAATAAAGTGTGCATGTATGTTCATTAAATATTCAAGGTAACTAATTTTTTAATAAAGTTCTTTGTAGATAAACAACGCACACTTTGTTTCTCGTCCATATTCGTCACATATCACAAACTTCAACTCAGATGGAGGTGTTACTTTTGATACCATCATGTACAACTGTGTATGCATAAAAACGGGTCGACAAAGGAAGATGTCAGTCTTTTCCAATGACTATCGCTGACTTTTATTAATGTCATTGCATAGCTAATAAATAATGGAAACCATCTGAGCTGCAAAGTGAACGGATGTCTACCGTATGGTGATGTTAAAGTAAGTCTAGAAATAAGAAATTTTTCACGCGTATTTCTCATTACACCATTTGAGACTCAATAACATGAGTCCAAGTTTAGTCACTAGAAGTCATATGTTGTTGTCTTATAAGCATTTAAGGCACCCTCATTTTTCACTTTCACTAGAAGACATATACTTGTGCATAATGGTGAGATCAAGAAAGATCTTTACTTACACATTTATTTGTGTCTCATCTGTTGCCATCAAATTACATAGTGTCAAACATTTCTTCCATCAAAGAGAACTTTATGACTTTGGTAGCTTAAATATACGAGTATTTTTTTTCTCCTTAGAATACAATACATTTTGTTGTAAGACCTACAAATATATTTTTAATGTTGTTCATCTTGCACTATATGTTGTTTTTCATTGTAGTCCATCCCTAATGTGCAATTCTATTTAGAAAAAAATTAATGTTCTTTTGCTAAACTTCACATTAAAATTTACACATCAAGTAGTTATAATTTGTTAGGAACAATCATTTTGTTAATGCAAGTCTCAGTACATCTTTAGAAAATACTCAAATTAGAATTTCGTCAAAACAATTTTAGTACTTATGTTTGTTATGTCTATTTTATTGTCAATCAGGATTTGTTAGAGAGTTGGTTAGCGACTAAGAAGAAAATATCATAATTATAGAAATGAATAAAAAATCAAATTCGAAAGACCAAAAAATATGTTATATTTGGAAAGATGAAAATACATTTAAACCGTCATTTTCATACATTTTCACATTAAAAATATATTTCATTTTCGATCAAAATAAACTCAACTTTCCTTTTTTCTTTTAAAAAACTTAAGTTTTCCCGTTCAAATGAGAAGTTGGTATGCTGCTTGTTTCATATAACAGGAAAAGATCCTTGGAGGCTTGGCCAAATGTGGCAATCCTCTAATTCCTAATTTGTAGGAAATAGGAATTAAAAAGTTGTCTTCATTTTTTAAAAGATTGCTACCCTTGTCCTTATGTATTAAAGCATTCATTTGCCTCGACTCTCACACACCAAAATTAGAGAGAAAAGTTTTACATTTTCAAGCTATGATGCAGTCTAATCTTTAAAATTTGAACACGTGTATTTAAGAAATTCATGTTCAAGTAATAAATGTTCTCATCTTCTTCAGAATATGAAAATAAAGGATAAAATCATCATAAAATTGAAGAATGTGTTAATCCTGGGGAGTTGGGAAACTGTTTTAGAAAATCTGGCGGATTTCTCAGAGTATCGTGTGATCACTTTCCGAATCTAATATTTCGACCCTATGCCTGAGTTACACGAAATTTAGATTATGGGGATAATCACTCTGAGAGACAGTCTAAAAATGAGGCACCAATATATAGACCACGAACTAGCAGTTTTAGTAGAACTCGAATTCTTCTGATTACCAAAGAGATAAGGCCAATCGGTTAGAGTTTTACTCTAACAGAAAGTCATTCTATTAAATAATTAATATGGACATGTTTATCCGAAAATAAATTTCCATATTTATTTCTTTAAATAAATTTCCATATTACTCTAACAGAAAGCCAATCGGAGAGACCCCCGCCAGGGGCGCTGCCCCTTGGACCCCGCCAGGGGCGCTGCCCCTTGGACCCCGCAAGGGGGCGCAGCCCCCTTGACCCCCGCCATTTAATCGAACCAAGTTTAAATTTAATTTCGTACAAGTGTGCGCTCCGCACCTCCTAACTTGTCTAAAATTAAACTTGAACTCCATTGGTAATCTGTAAATTCCATTACACTAAAATGAACCTGGTGATACTAAAATCACCAACAGAATGATCATCTTGAATGGAGTAAGTTTTATTTACAGAATAAAGTCTAACTCCAAAAGTAAATGGGCTTACCACAACAACATCCAAGCCTTAATCCCAAAAGAATTTGGGGTCGGCTAACATGAATCGATCTATGATATCGATGCCAAAAAGAGAAGGCGGACAAGAAAAGGAAAAAAAGTAAGATAAAATGAATAAAATAAAGATACATAAATATAAGATAATAATAACACAAGAATATAACCAAGATAAAAGAAAAATAAATAAAAGAACATAAAAAAACTAGAAGATAAAAATAACATAATAATATAAAAAGATAAGGAAGATAAATGATAAAAGAAACAAGAGAGGAAAGGTAGACAAGACATCAATCGTCCACATGGATGTGCGCCCTCCACTTTGCTCTCTTCAAAGTCATACTCTCATCCAACCCAAGAAGACGCATATCAGTTCTGATTACTCTAATCCAAGTCTGTTTGGGTCTTCCCCTCCCTCTCTTCTCTGACTCTTCTCCCCACCCCTCAAGTCGTCTAACAGGTGCATCACTCGGTCTTCTATGCACATGCCCAAACCACCGCAAACGAGACTCCTGCATCTTATCTTCTATAGGTGCTACTCCCACCTTTTGTCTGATTACCTCATTCCTCAGGCGGTCTTTTCTGGTATGTCCACACATCCAACGCAACATACGCATCTCTGTCACACTCATCTTTTGAATGTGGCATTGCTTCACCGCCCAACACTCTACGCCATACATTAATGTTGGCCTAATTGCTGTACGATAAAATTTATCTTTCAATTTAGTCGGCATACCTCGATCGCATAGAAAATAAATCGGCTTACCAACATTTGAAAATTTAAACTGCTCCAAAGTCTAAATGTACCATTGAAATTAATAGAGAATTTGCTTTTAAATTGGTGAAAACTAAAACTAAAACCATCTCAGACTATCAAATTCATTCTAAAAAGAATGCACGGTTCGAAATGACTTCAGTTCGATCTTTACACCTCAAACTTCTTGTTGACAGAGAGCATGTGCTCTTTCATTTATTTCATAGGGGAATTTCGTCATGGCAAACATTGAACCAAAGAGCTACCCAAGAGTGGCACCAGCTCCAATGAACCCAACCAATCTTGAACCCAACCAAGAGTGGCAAACATCAAATCTACGCCAAAACAGATTTTAAAGTTATTTTGCGGGGAACCAGAGTGATGGGGCCTGAGTGAGTACAAATTAAAGATTGAATACCCTAAGTATGAAGTGGAAAATGGGAAATTAATAAATGCACTCTAAGTACCCAATTACTAATATTGTTTTATGATGTTGCCTTATCCCCCTTATGCCCAAGCCATGGACATTGTAGGGCTCAATTGGCCATTTCCTTTTGCTCCTTAGAATTAATATCCCCCAGTTCCATCCTCTCACTTTTGGATGGTTAACTACTCATACTGTTTTCAATGTTTGTCCCCATTTTTCGGCCTGATTTCAAGTATTGGGCACGGATCTCGCGCACCGCGTGTAGTGACGCTAGTTTTTATCATATGTGGAAGAGTTGAGTACTACCTCTTCAATGAAGTTAACCGTACATACATTGTTCATGGTTGATTTACGTAGTCAAATATCCCACGAATTCCAACCCAAAGTATTTACTAGTACTCCGTATAACTTAGGATGTGTTTGTCGACTGTTTTCAGTCTCAGAATAGACCAGAGCAGACTTAAACATACCAGACCAGTTCAGACCAGATCAAACTTGTATAGTTATAAAATACACAGAGACCAATCATTTACCAGACCAGACTTAAACAGGGCAGACTAGAACAGCAAATTTCAATCCAAGTAAAAACATCCTTATAAGCCCTATATGTTTTTCTTGTTAATATATCATATTTTTACATATATTAAAAAATGAAATCATATTTTTACTGTAATTATTTATGGTTATTAAATGTATACCGTGAATATGATGAAGCAAAAAACTACATACCCGCACTGGTAGCTCAGTTGGTTCAGTGGTGGGAAATTTGGACCAAGTGACCAAGGTTCGAAACCCGCAGCGACCGTGTGGAGGTCACAGAACCTGAAATAAGGCTGGGCCTCTGGTGCGCACGGAAAAAAGGTCTACCATCATTGGGCCGACTGAGTCACCGTGATTAACATTCTCCCAAAAATCCTGTCGGGTCGGGGTATGGGGGCTCTTGGGGTGGGAGATTCCACCTTTTTTTGGACCAAGCAAACAACTACAGGCGCACTAATACGAGAAAGATTCACAAAACAGAGATTTTTGGCAAGCATCCATTGAGCACACTAGTCTTACCGCCTATTTACAAACCTACCCATAACAATACAAGCATACACATAATCTTGAAACTAATACTCCGTATAAATATCTATAGCCCACATCTATATACATCTTTCACAGTTACAAGCAACTCATAATCCCTTCTTCCACCCAACTACACCCTGGAGACTTCTTCAACCCAGTGAAATGCATCCTACCTCTTGCTTTCCCCGCATCATCCCACCTGCCTGATTGTGAGTATATATTTGACAGCTCCACATAATGAGCCGGATTTCCTGCTTCACGATTCGTGAGATTCTTTAATGCCAGCTCGGCTAACTCAACATTAAAATGCATTCTAGATGCACCAAGCAGCGCTCCCCAAACAGCACCATCGGGTTCCATAGGCATTTCATTGTTAATCAAATCCATGGTCTCATCAAACAACCCGGCACGGCCCAGCAAGTCTACCATGCACGCGTAGTGCTGCACACATGGGCTGAGTTGGTATTTCTTCTGCATAACGTTCCAGAACATGTTCCTGCCTTCCTCTACCATGCCTGCGTGCCTGCACGCAGACAATATACTAATGAAGGAAAGAGAATCGATATGTATTTCATTCTCCTCTTCCATGCGCGAGAAGACCGAGAGAGCTAATTCGGCGCTTCCGTTCACGGAACACGCGGCAAGCATCACGTTCCAAGAAACTGTGTCCCGATTCTTCATTTCGTGGAATAACAGGTCAGACATGTCGAGTCGCCCACATTTTCCGTACATGTCGATCATGCTATTTATGACAAGGGTATTGGATAAAAACCCTTTCTTGATAATGTACGTGTGTATCCCCATTCCTTCTTTTAGCAATGTGAGAGACGAGACAGCTGGCAAGATGGTAGCAATGGTGACACTGTTAGGCTGGAAAGGCGATAGTCTCATCATGTCAGAGAAGGTAGATATTGCTTCCTTGGCACATTCGTTCTGAACATACCCAGTAATCATGGTATTCCATGAGATTTCGTCTTTATGGAAAGAGGAATTGTTAAACAGGAATTCAGAAGATGGGAGTTCCCCACATTTGGAATAGAAGTCAATGAGAGCGTTCGCCACATGGCGGTCCGACCCATGCCCGTATTTGATAACTTGACCGTGGATGTAAGTTCCGTGATGGATGTCACTCAGAACAGTGCAAGCAGGGAGGACGCCCACCATGGTTCCAGGATCTGGTTGTAGCCTGGATAACCTCATCATCAGAAACATCTCAAGTGCATCGTGGGACCTACTGGCCTGTGAGTATCCATTTATCAAAGCATTCCATGTCACCACCTCTTTATAGGGCATCTTATTAAAGACACCAAGAGCATAAGGAAATAAAAGACACTTGGCATACATTGATACCAAAGCAGTTCCGGTTGAAAGATCATAATCAGTATCTGTTTTAACAGCATAGCAGTGAATGGATTTACCTGTTAATTTGGACATTAGCTCGCCACAAGCGGGTAAAACGCTTACTAGGGTCACATTATTGGGAGGTAAGTTCTCGTGTTGCATGTCTCGAAACACTGAGAGTGCTTCATTTGGATGTCCGGACTGGGCGAATGCTGATATGACCGCAGACCAGGCAATTAAATCCCTTTCGTGTATGTCCCCAAACAGTTCTTTAGTCTTCTCCAATTCTCCACACTTTGCATACATCGTCATAAGAGAAGTTGCAACCATAACGTCTGAGTCCATCCTCTCTTGGATTATGTAATCATGAATCTCCTTACCTTTATCAAGATCCTGCATCTCACCCGCTCCTAATAGCGCACTTACAGCAGACACCTTGTTGATTTTCACATTTTCTGTTTGCATGTAACCAAACAAGTTTAGAACTTCATGAAAGTTTCCAGTATATGCATGACCAGCCATTATTGTACCCCATGAAACATCATCTTTCACTCTCATCTGAATAAAAATTTGATGAGCTACACTGCAGTATCCGCATTTTGAGTATGTATCAATTAACCCATTATAGACAGAAATGGGACATTCCCTCCTATAAGCAAATGCATGAATGGGCTTGCAAATCTTCAAATCCTTTAACCTGCAAACTGCTGGAAACAAGTTCAATAAGCTCACCGAATTAGGCTCAACTCTACAACTAAACTGCATGTACCTGAAAAAATCTAACGCATGGGAGGGCTCTGAACTATGAGAAAGCCCTGAAATCATTGCATTCCAAGCAACAACATCCTTTTTGGGCATTTCATCAAACACTTTCCTGGCACTCTTTAAATCGCTCGTTTTGCAATAGAGTGTAACAAGTCCAGTTCCAATAAAAACATCACATTCAAGATTCCTCCTAGATATATCATTATGAATACGAAGTCCCCTTTCCAAGTCCAGCATCTCAGTGCAAGCTTTCAGCGCAAATGTGAACGTATACTTGTCTGGCTGAAATCCACTCTCTATCATTAAATCGAACAGCTGGATAGCTTCTGGATACTGGCTGGTTGTGTTGTATGCTCTGATCATTGAATTCCATAAAATCCCGGGAGCATTTTGCACAGAGTCAAAAACTAACCGGGACAAATTGGATCTCCCGAATGAAGCGTAGAGGTTTATGAGGTGCGATTTGGTGCTGTAATTGATCTCGAGGGCTGAGGTGATGAAGTGGGCATGAACTTGAAGGAGAGAATTGAGGTCTTTGCAGGAAGCGAGGAGGGGGTGCTGGTGATCAGTTGATGTGCTGAGGAGAGAATGGAAGCTTCTCACTAGTCTAAATCCATGTCTGCTGATCATCTTTATGGCAAAGGTGGATTTAAGGTCTACATTTGTTATTAAACTCATCATTCAAGATTAGTTATTATTCATTCATAACATGAATCCAATACATTCATTGGCAAAATATCAATAATGACTAGCTAGATCCAACCACGGTAAGAATTTGTGGCTTACTGCACATCAGCACATGATACTGTGAAAATAAACGAGCCTCCTTCGCGCACCGCAATTCTTATTAGGCGCACCCTCTTTTTCATGAACCAATCTGTCCTCTCCCAAATTTGAACTCAGTCATAGAAGATTACAGGGTAGCTCCACGGCCTCCACCAAACTCAACTCCTAGTACGTAGCGCACCAAAAACCAAACTCAACCTGGCTGGGTCAACCCGAAACCCGGCGACCCGGACAAAAAAACGGTTCGATTGTTCAAAACCGGTAAATGATAAAAAACCGGAAAACCCTGGCTGACCCGGGAAAACCCGCCCCGGACTCGGACACAAGAAACCCGAAAAAATCGGAAAAACCCGGTTTTGGGTGCTTTTCCAAAAAAAAAAGTAATTTCTTTTTACTTTTAATGCATTTTTAAACCAATAAAATGGCAATTTCAATACCCTAAAAAGAAAAATTATGTAATATATTTATATATTTATTTAAGAATGAAAATCATGCCAAATTATAATATAAATGTACTCCCTCCGTCCCGTTGGAATGTTCCCGGTTTGACCTACACACATATTAAGGAAATAAATTTACCAGAGGGTAAATTTTACTGTTTCGACATTGTTTCGACATGTTTGACACTGTTTTGCACTGTTTGACCCTATTTTGATGTAGGATAACTTTTCATTTAGAGAAATGGGAACTTTCCAACGGGACATCCAAAAAAGGAAAGCGGGAAATTCCAACGGGACGAAGGGAGTATAATACAAATAAAAATATCATTATATATTTTTATAGGATCAAAATTATACTTTGAAATATTATGAGAGTGTATTGAATGCTTAATAAGTAGTATTGTTAGTTGATTATTATGATTAATAACTACTTTTTATTATAATTTTGTATATAGACGTATAATCGTTGACTGTTTTTCCGACATTAACCGGATTGACCCACCGGGTCCGGGTTGACCCGTGACCCAGTCACTTGAACGGGTCGCTCATCGGTCCGGTTTTTACAACATAGTTGTTATGTTTCCTTAAATTTTGTTTTAACTTTATTTTTAAAAAATGATTATCTTTAAAATATGCTCAAAATCTTAATATAATCAGGATTATGAATTTTAACTACCGTCGAACAATTTAATAAAGTTTGTGTGCTTCTAAATGATTCTTACTTTATTCTTATTTTATTAATTTAATATCAACCACATAATTAAACCCACTTTTATTAGTAACCGTGTTACTTTCTCATGTCTCAATGTTAGTTGGGCGGAGATAGTAATATTTAAGGAAAAACCTAGTACATAAACATTTACTCCCTCCGTCCCTAATCTTTCTCCCTTTTCGGGTGGGCACATTTATTAAGATAGTGGAATTTGTGTGATGGAGAGTTGTGCAGAGGAGAGAGAAATGTGTAAGAATGTGTAAGAATGGTTGTGAACCACAAATTTTTTGCTAAAAGGAGGAAGAGGAGATAATTTTGGGACGGACGAAAAAGAAAAGTTTGAAGATAATTTAGGGACGGAGGGAGTAATAAAAATACAACATCCAATTATTAGCCTCAATATTTTTGGGATCACCTAACATGAATAAATATATGACTTCAGAGCCAAAAGGAAAACAAAGATAAGCACGATAAAAATGTAAGATATGATAAAAAGAAAAATGGAGAACTATCAAATAAGCCCTCGAACTTTCATAAAAAATACAAATATGCCCTTTTATAAGAGGCTCTGTCCGACCGTCCCCATTTGGAGCAGTTTCTCGTGAAATTTTTTGATGAAATTTTTGGAGCATCTTTTTTATTAAGTCTAGTTTACTCATACCAAATTTAAGATAAAAATTCAATCGGGAAGATAGTCAAATGAATTTTTGAAGATAACTGCGCAGTTAGGTAGCGCAGTATATTTCAGAAAATCATTTGACTGCCTTCTAGATTGAATTTTTAGCTGAAATTTGGTATGGGTCAACTAGACTTAATGAATAAGATGCTCAAAAAATTTCATCAAAATATTCCACCGGAAACCACCCCAAATGAAGACATCCGAACAAAGTCTCTCGTAAAGGGGCTTATTTGCACTTTTTATGAAAGTTCGAGGGTTTATTTGATAGTTTTCCCAAAGAAAAAAATATAAAATAGAGATTATATATATAAATGATAATAAAAATAATATTTTTCAAAATTTATAATGCAATATATGTGTCATATGAAAGATTATAAAAATTACTTAATTCAAAATATGTATCACATTTTATAAAAATAATATTGTTCGACACATTGAAAAAAATGATATTTGCACTTCTATTTAAATTGAATCAATTTTGAGTCATCTATACGGTAGTGGGATTAAAGACACCTAAAGAAGTGTGTGCAGTGTGCCAACGTAATGGGATTTGTTCTTAATTTTAAAGAATTCATTCTACGTAGAAACTTCGGTTAAAAAGAAATAAAGAGGGCAAAATGGTCTATTCATGGCTACGTGTAGCAATCTCGGGGGTCCGTCTAGCAATCCCCTAGTAATAATGGAATCGGTTAGAATAATACATTACAAAAATGAAAATTGAATAAGAGAAGAAAGATTAATAAGAAGAATACATCATTTTATGACTAATAAGAAGAACCCAACCTAACTTTAGAATAGACTAAACTCTTATGCTAGAAAAATCAAAATTGGATTACATAAGAGATATCAATAAGAAGAATCACTTGACCAATTGAAGTGTTGCAGCCTTTTTTATTTGGTTTTTTGTAATCAGACTTTGAAATTCTTAAGAAAGGGTATATAAATTAAAAATACGATAATGTGAACTTTGTTATTTCTCGTTTCTCTTTCATTGGTTCCAAAAAAATACGATAGTATTAAAGAAAGGGAATTGAACCATTTTACAGAAAACACTCCGTTTTTATGTGTAAAAGCTGATTAAATTTGTAGCTTTGCTTCTTTTATTTGATTTTTGAAATCCAACTTTGAAAATCTAAAAAAGAAAAGACTAAATAAGAAGAATTGCACTTCATTCTATTCTTACCTGTGTTGAGAAATCTTAGTAAAAGAAGACCGGTAGAGATTACAATTTGCATTTTTAAATCTCCTGGCAATTAGTGCCAAAAATTGCTTTTCTTCTTAGTTGTATTATGGGATTCACTCCTGAACATGAAGTTAATGACAACTAGTTACTTTGTGGACTATTAGAATAGTTCAGATAAGCTTCTTCCCGAATGAAATATTTATTTAGCATAACAATTGTCCTTAATTAGAGAAAGTGTTGGTTGATGCATTGAACGAATAAAAATGTGGAACTAATTCTTTTTCTTGGTTTTTTTCAAGTATATCTCTCCAAAAAATGCATACAAAGCTATAAATTTATATTGATAGAGTCATGGAAGATCACTTTGGTTGATGCATGGAATGTTCAAATATAACGGTGGGCGTAGTTTTAATGTGCATTTGATTTGCTTTTATTTGCATGTGGATTTTACTATACAATTTCACTTTCCTATAGTTCAACATTTTCTCCAATGTCAGGCTTATGGGAGCCCAAATCAAAACCATCTCAAATTGTAAAGCATGAGACTGAGAAGATGCAATTGGAATTGGTGGTGTCAATTTATAACCAAGACTCCTAGCACAATGTTATGAAATCACTAAAAAAGGTTATAGATCTGAAACGTGAAGAAATCAAAATAATCAACTAAATCAAAAATAGTTTTGGATTAAAACAATTCTGCCCAAACCCCTGTATAGCAAACCCACTGAAATAACAAAATAATTAATAATTTGTACTTGGAAGATAAGAGCAAAGCATGCCATAGAAAGAAAATTTGACATACCAGGTTTCAGTTGTTAACTTTGATCACAAATCAACAAGATACGAAATATTTTCGTACAGGGAGAAAGAATACAGAGCCGCATCTACCGGGAGAAGAGAAACATAGATACAAAGTGCTGAATTTACATCCAACAACAAAGCATGCCATAGAAGAAAACTTTTGGCATACCAAATTTCAGTCATTAACTGATCAATCATATTTTAGGTGATGTAAGATAATAAGAAGCATGTCTATGTTTTATATCCATTGTACAACATTGTAGTTTAAATAATGTATCATATTAAGGGTATATAACCGATAATGGTCCGAAAATAGACATGGTTTTTAGCTGCGATAGTAACATAATGTTATTTAATCCTACATATGATGGAGCTTGAATAGAAAACATAAAATATGCTTGTACAGTTGTGATGAGGGGGTATTCTATGCATGTTCTTAAAGTGGAGTGTGATACTTGTGCAATTATATTTCTAGCTAATTGTTCATGTACTCAACCCATCTCACCACCACCCCCACCACCCCACCCCTCTAGGTCAACTACACCATTTTGAGTGAAGAATTTATACACCAACATCAAGAGGAATGTATTGCAAAAATAGCTATTGTTCTTTCCATATCGAAGGCAACAACCGGCATCTTGTTGCACCGTTATAATTGGTAATTTATCATATGCGAACTAAAGTCCTAAGGATGTTTGTATGGCTAACATTCATTTATTTTTTCCTACTCAACCACAATCATACATTTCCACTTTATTCTCACTTTCTTAATGGGTGTGTCAAGTCAAGCTAGGAAGAATTTAATAGGACAAAGGGAGTGTTTTACTCCAACAACAATGCTATTCAATGTAAAGAATAGAAAAAGAACGACCATGACCTATAAGTACTATAACTGAATAAACTGCCATGTTTTTGGATAAAATGCTTCAAGTCTTCAACATCTTAAACATATGTCCATTTGATATGCATTTCGAATATTTCTTTGTGTGAAGGATGTCCGACAACCAATCATTAATACAATCAAATTTTTGAAAAGATCAAATTTATCAATAATTCAGTCAACATGGTGATAGACATCGTAGAATAAGTGTAAAATTATTGTTGGAAAACAAAGTGAAATAAACCGATGTAGTCTACAATGAGTGAGATAACTAAAACAATTTAACTTTAAACTGATGTCCACATGGGGAATTGGTTTGAGATTACAGAAGTACATAAGAAAGAAATTATGCGATAATTATAAATTTTTGTTTGAAACATCATACCTTAATTATGTGGAGTGAATGCAATGTGATGGTCATTAGCTAAGGGTGCAATAGGACTGCAACTTTGTTCTTCTAGCAGAGTTTCTTCTCTAAAACGTAGAAAAATGGAAATCACACCATACATAACAAAAGGTAATTATAA